TAGTTAAGTCGACTATTATTGAAAGGGGAGGATAAATTGTTATAGGATTCCTGAATCCCTTTAGGTACGATTCGGGTACGATTTATAGCTGCTCTGCGGGTGAATCTACTATAATATACCTGCTAATATATAACTACCCTAAGCCCTAGTAAGCTCTAGCAATATTAAAACGTATGAACAATAGCTACGATTCTTGTCCTGCAAGAATCAGTTCTGTATATTAACTGTTCTATTTGATCTCTACTATCCGATATCCTTGCCTAGTCACAGGTCTCTAGCCTGACAACTTAGTAACCATTACAATAATTCTCTCTTTAAGCTTTTTATATATAGTATATAGCCTAGCTTAATTAAATATAAATTCTACTTTAGCCCTTTATAAATAGATTATCTTATATTCTAGAAGAAAAGAAGCCTTTATCTATAGAAAAGATATTAAGATTAATTTATAAAAGAATTATAATTAAATTATTTATAAAAATATAGTAGTTTATTACTAATATAATACTATTTAAAGAAGAAAATAAAAAGAAGTAGAGATTAATAATTATAATTATATTAATCTATAGAAGTCTATTATTATTCTTCTCTTTAATTATAAATAATTTAATTAATAACCTAGAGTTAAAGCTAAATTAGGTTTAAAATAATATTACTACTTCTATAGATTAGAAGAATCTAGAGAAGACTATAAATAAGTCTAATAAAGTTAATTAGTTAGATCTAAAGAATAATAAAGAAGTTTTTTTAAGTTAAAACTATAATATAACTAAGTTTTTTCTAAATTAAAGCTATAATATAATATATTATAAGGTTTTAAATTACTTTTAATTTATATTTCTTTAAATAATAATTATTATAACTATAAATAAAGATCTATTTATAGATAAATCCCTAAAAGAATTAAAATTATTAATTAAAAAACTCTAAGATAAAAATAAAATAGTTTAAAAAAGAATTAATATAACTTAAAAAGATATTTTATAAAGAAAATATTAAAATATTAACTTTAAAAAACTTTTATATTATAAAAAATATCTTTATATTCCTATTACTAAGAATCTAAGATAAAAACTAATTAAACTTTATTATAATAAATAACTTATAGAATATTTTAAAAGAATATATATAGAAGAACTTCTAAAAAAGAAATTCTATTAAGAATATTTATTAAAGAATATATAAAAATATATTAAAATATATTTAATATATTAAGAAATTAAAGTATTTAGATATTATTTCTATAGAGAACTCTAATCTTTTCTTATATTTTATAGACTATTTATAAAATTAAATATAGACTTTATTATAAGATTTTTAATTATAATCTTTAAAAAAAGAAAATATAATATAATCTTAATAATTATCTACTAACTTATAAAATTCTTTTAATTCTTTTTTATTAATAATAATATATATAAAAAATCTTATTAAACTTTTTTTTAATTAAATTAAACTTAAATATAGAAATCTAGAAAAAATTATTTCTAATTAAAAACCTATTTTTATAAATAGATTCTAGTTATAACTCTATTATTATTTTAAGATTAAACTATAATTCTTTATTATATTCTATTCCTAAACTAATAAATAAATAAAAAGATTTAATTAGGTTTTAAAAGATTATTTTAGATATTTTATCAATAAAAAATATTTAAACTAGATTTAACTTTTTAAAATAATATAATTTATATATAATAATATTATTAATATATTAATTAATAAGATTTCTTTTTATATATTATTTAGATATAATCCTAATTTCTAAATTTAAATTCTTAATAAAATACTTAAAAAAAAGGTTTTTAATACTAAAAAATAAGTAAATTATCTTTAAAATATTTAGAAAGAGACTATAAAAAAGCTTTAAATTATATAGAAAATATAATAGAGATCTTATAATAAAAATTATAAATTAAAGAACTTTAAAGTAAAAACCCTTATATTTCTTTTAATAAAGAATCTCTATTTTAAAACTAAAGAAAAGAAGTTATTTTTTTATTAAATTAGATCTTTCTATATTCTTATAAAAGTTAGTACTTAGACTTATTATATTATATTACTAGAAAAATACTTAAGATTATATAATATTTTCTCTACTCTCTTTTTAAACTATAGAATAGCTAAAATAATAATAACTTATAAATACTAATACTAGAACTTAAAGATAAAGAAGAATAAGAAATTAAAAAGATTTAAAATAAAAAAATCTTTAATAGAGTATTAAATTACTATATAAAATAAATAGAATAATCTTTAGAATATAACTAATAGAAACTAGTAGAATACTTAGAAAATATAAAAGATATAATAGCTTTATTTAAGAAAAACTAAGCTTATAAAATAATATCCTAATAATACTAAAAATCCCTTAAACTATCTTTAAATTAATATTAAATAAAGAAAAGATATATTAGATAAGGTTACTTAATTAAAAAAAGGAAGAATAAGTAAGATAAAAAATAATAAACTACTATAGAATTCTATACTAAGTTATAAATATCTTAATATTAATAACTATTACTATTATAACTAGAGTTAAAGTAATCCTAATTAAAATTATATTATACTAATATCCTATTATAATCTCTATAAAAAAGGATTAAATACTATTTTACTAGAAAGTAAAACTAATATTACTAATCTATAGATATAAAAGACTATTAAAATAATAAGAAGACTAAGTAAAAGATAAACTAACCTTAATATTTAACTCTTTCTATTATTTAATAATAAATATAGTATATACTCTAATAGCTTAGTCTATATTCTATAAATCAAAATAAAGCTTATAATTAGAAAGATAAATAAAGATTATCTTTTAAAAAGATATTAGGAGATAAGTAGATTCTTTTATAGCTATAGCTTTATTTTCTTTATTCTAGATAGATATAGTACTATTAATAACTACTATAGTAGTATTACTATTTTAAACTTTATATATCTAATTAAGAATTAACTAAAACTAATATAAATTATTATAAATTCTATAAGATATTTAAGATAAATTAGTACTAAATTAAATATAACTTAGAGAAGAACCTTATCTAAAAGTAATTCTTACTATATTTCTTATATAAAATATAAGTAATTAAGTTTATATAGTCCTAGTTATATTTAATCTTAGGAATAGTATTCTTAGAAGGATAAAGAGTTATCTTAGTAATATATCTAATATAAAATATAAAGGAAGGATAAGTAATTTAATTATAAAGAGAATATAAGCTAATAGAAATATTAATAATACTCTCTATAATACTTCTATTATCTCTATTATCTTTATTATCTTTACCTTTAGCCTAATCTTTATCTCTAGTTATATAATAACTACTATAGTAAGAAGGATTACTAAAAATACTAGAAGTAGTAATCTTAGATATATTAAAAAGAAATAAGATAAAAGTAGAGAGTAAGAAGATAGAGAGTTAAGAATTAAGAGCTAAAAAAAAAAGAAAAGATAAAAGTTAAAAAGATAAGAGAGAAGCTCTTATCTTAAAGATATTAAAGAATCTATATTACTTTATTTATATCTATATATAAAGATACCTAAGATAGTATTAGTCCTAAAGTCTTTATTTAATATAATACTACTAGATATAAATTATCTAAATAAATATAAGTTATATAGATAGTTAAGTTAACTATTATTAAAAAAGAAGAATAAATTAGTATAGGATTCCTAAATCCCTTTAGATATAATTTAGATATAATTTATAATTACTCTATAAGTAAATCTACTATAATATACCTACTAATATATAACTACCCTAAGCCCTAGTAAGTTTTAATAATATTAAAATATATAAATAATAGCTACGATTCTTATCCTATAAGAATCAGTTCTATATATTAACTATTCTATTTAATCTCTACTATCTAATATCCTTATCTAGTCATAGGTCTCTAGCCTAACAACTTAGTAACTATAATATAATTATTACTCTTATATATTTAGTTCTTTGTATTTAATTTTATTATTATACTTAGATTACTACTTTCTATAATATAGTTTATAACTTAGTTTACCCTTATTATTATCCTAGTTATAATTTGATCTAACTTCTTTAAATATAACTTAAATCTAATTAATAGTTTATCTCTGATAAACTATTAAAAGTCCTCCTTCTATACGTCCCTTTTTAAGTACTCTTATAGATCTAAGCCTATATAAGGCTTTAAGATAATAGTATAACTACGGAATATACTTAAGGTATATATAGACCAAAGGACTATATCTACTCACTGTACAGCAGGACCAGCTCGTAATAATATAATTCGTATTTAAGATTCCCTGCCTTAATAATGAATTGTGCTTACTACTAAGAGGTAGTTTGGAGCTAGAGGTATTGATTTCTATATATTATTGCGAAGCGAAGCGAAGCACCCCCATTTGAATCCCCCCCCCTTTGCCAGGCGGTTAAATTCTCCCTTCTAAATTAGGTAGGCGGTAAAAACTTACAACCGAGGTTGGTGATATCTCTTTCATCTGATTGGTTAGACAGAAAATTCTGCCCCCCCCAAGGGGGATAGGGGCCCGCTCGGGATAGCCAATAATAGTAAAGCATCATAACCCTCTGATATTACTTGTAGTATATCATCACGGATTAAAAGCTTCGCAACTACTATAGTGTATAACACTGCCCCCTAGTGAACGTTTTCCTACCCTAAAAATGGGTATCCCCATATTAGTTTTAAGGATTTGATGGAGATGTAGAAATACAAGCGCGGGAAGGGCAAGAACGACAATCTCCAACACTGGAAGAAAGCTTGAATGATTATGAGGCTTATCCCATTTGGTGCTTCCCAGATCTCTTTGTATAAAACTCGTTTTGGTTTCGAGTAGATCAGCCAGACCCAGCTCTCCGTTTCTTCCATCTCCCATGTCCGTTTCCCTCCAGCTTCGTTTCCCATCACAAGTAAATTTCTGGAGAGGTCTAAAGGGGGCGGGGGAGAAAAAATCTATTTAGATGCTCTTGCTTAATCCGACATTCTTTTCAGGTTCAGTCCAAGCCCCCGAAAGATTGAGCAGTCAGTGAGAACTTCTCTAAACGCTCTAACAACGCTTTGGAGGAATTGAGACGCGTAGCAAGTCCCCCGGAGGACGTGTTTTCAGATATGATCTCGAGTTGTCCTCTCAGGTCTGCAGCATTCTCCTCACAGCCGAGTTCTTCCCAGCTGTCTGCCAATGCTTCAAGTAGATCTGGTAGCACTTCAAAGTCGCTCTCAGATTTCAGGCATATCTGGAGAATTTCTTGTTGCAGGACAGCGGCATCGAATGGTTTCTCCTGTGCATTGAACTCTAGTGATAGTGCGTACAAGTTCAGAAGAGTCCGAGGGTCCTCTTTCCCAAACAATGCTTCTCTTGACTTGCAAAGTTGATTGAGCATCGACCACAGTGACTCAGAGTTAACTAGGCCATCATGCATCAAATAAAGATCTACAAGGCATTGAAGACTTTCAAGTGTGTTTGGGTCTTCGCTGCCAAGAGTTCGCTGGCGAATCTGATGCACATGTTGGTAGAGATGCTCAGCCTTACGAAGGTGACCTTGCTTCTCGTGCCATAACGCCAAATTAACCTGAGCACTAAGCACCTCATCATGCTCTTCCTCATGAAGATGTCTTTTTCTTGCCAGTGAGTTCGTGAGAATCTCTAGAGCTTTCTCTGCCCGGCCTTCTGCTAGATATATATCCACTAGCTTTGCTGAAAAGGCGTCCGCAGAATAGGCATCTGGGTCAAGAACGCTGATCAAGCTTTCGGCTAGACAACCTGCGGCCTCTAGCTCTTCGTTTGCAACGAATAAGTCGATCAGTAGATATGCTGTGTGCGTTGTTTCCACGTGGTCTAGTCCAAAAATCATCTTTTGCTTGTCAAAAGCCTCCCGCATGAATTCCGTCGCTTCCGAAATTCGACTTTGACCTTCCAGTGCGCTTGCAAAGCTTCTCATACTCGAAAGTGTTCGCGGATGCTCTCGGCCAAATGCAGCGGCCTGAAGTTCAAGCACCTCTGCCGAAAGCGTGATGGCTTCTTCATGACGACCTTGTTGTTTATACAGGGATGCCAAGCTCTCCATGTGGCGACTCAGGTCTTGACGACGATCTGTTCGACAGTATCTGCGTGAGTCTACCAATTGTCGAAGTATGGTCTCCGCTTTGTCAAGACAATCCATATCTCGATATAGTTCGGCTAGACCTGCCTTGGTATAGGTAATCGCATGTTCATTGCTCGGATTCCTCTGCTCCCAAATTGCCAATAGCTCTTTGTATTCAGATTCAGATTCAGCCCAACGATGAGATCCTTGTCGATGAAGTACCTCAGCGAGAATCTTGCGAAACGTAAGATAGACCGTGTAGCCCGTCTCCAGATGAAAACTTTTACATGCTTCGATTGTTTGAAGGCATTTCCCCTCCGCATGTTCAAATTCTTCGCATTTCATCAAAGCTTTCACTTCGAAGAGGGAGGCAGTGATTGTCTCTGGATGTTCCCACCCAAGAATATTTTCGGTTTCCCTCCGTGACATAACGGCCAAGCGCTTGGCTTCGTGTGGTCTTTCACAGGAGAGCACAAAATCAGTGGCATGACGAATCAGTCTGGCCCATCTTATTCGATGATTTGAGACTGGACCATGTAACATTGCCGACTGAATGTGTGGGAACAAAGATCTGGATCTTGCGATGTTTTCCATGTTGGTGAATTTTGGAAATTTTAGATAGAGAACGCGAATGAAATTCTCTTTCCAATAGGTATGTTTTCCTTGTATGTCAAGCCAATCCTGGATAGAAAGTTGCACAAGACCATGCATCGCGAAGCTCAGCGTCTCAGGATCGATGGAAATGAGTGAGTAGTCTTTAAGTATGGCAATGCTATCTTCAAAATCCAATCCAGAAAATTTGAATGTGGCTTTTCGGTCGGCACTACTACCCTTGTCTTCCAAAATCTGATCAATGTTTTTATCTTCCTGATAAGAGGGTCCAAATGGCGTATAATTCTTGTCAACATCACTCTTAGCCTCATCATCATCATCATGAAATGATGTATGCAGTATATAGTCTGGGATCGATTGCGGATGGAAAAAGCTCATGAAAGAAAGGATATCCATGGCTTGTGGGTTCTCCTTCCTGATTAATTCGAAGGATAATTGCAGTGTAATAATAATGGAATTATCGACTCTCTGATCGCGATGCAGCAGTCTTGTCTGGCGCTTCAAAAGGCTTGCTCTTGCTTGGTTGCTCTCTTGAAACATTTCAAGATACTTTTGCACAGAAGATCGAGGGGAGTGACGTGCGATGAAAGTTGCTGCTTGTACAATAGCAAGTGCTATGCAGTCAAGTTCGCGAGCAAGTCTTTTTAAACTCAAAACATCCGTGGCGGCATCGATTTTGAGTTTTCTTTCAAGCAAAGCAAGTGCATGGGTCTCTGATGGCTCGATTGTTATAATATCGCATTCATTGACAAGATTCGTTGCAACCTGCTTGCTACGGGTCGTTAATATGATAGACCCATGCGGCACTCTTGGTAAATAATCCAGCGGCGACTTATCAAAGTCGGCCCTTTGATGGCTGATTACTTCAATCCGTTCATGACTACCAGCTGAAATGGGACTTGCGAACGCTGGCTGATAGAGATATTCATCATCATCAATATTGTCAAGGATTAGAAGCCATGGTTCTGCTATTTGGCCCTGGAGCCAACTACCAACAAGCTGAAATATATTGGCAGTTGGGTCTTGATGGTGTGGAATTTTGACGCGCTCTGCGATGTCACGCAGTCCCTCTTCGTATCGCACAATGTCAGTCGCGTGAATCCAGAAAACCCAAGTCCCAGGCGACTGCTCTCGGATCCAGTATGCGTATTCGATGGCAATCTCGGATTTGCTGAAACCTTGTTAAGAACACTGAAACTATCACTGACGTGGCTTATATTTACCCAACTCCGCCGAAACCAACTAGGGCCAGTCTCGCCGAGGGCTTGGAGCTAAGTGCATGCACCCTGTCTACAAGGGATCCCGGGTCCACAAAGTCAGGATCGCGCCCGAATGGAATCATGACACAAGGCTGTGGTCGCTCTTCTGGGGCTTGTTTCACGTTATCAGAGATGTGAATTATCCGACAATCAACATTGAAGGTGACTTTACCTGGGGACAAGTGAAAATGTGCATTCCAGGTGGTCTGTCCATTGTTTTGCGCGATTTGTAAACCATAGTTTGAGCCATTGAAAGATATCGGTGAGTCCATCATGTATAATCGAGATTCCACGTAAAGAGAATTGTTGAGTGGAAAGAGTTTCGCAGTACGAGTGCGGGGTGGAAGAGGGAAGACGAAGATCACTTGCGACCCGCTCTGATTCCTGTCATTGGCCGGTCACATTGCAGAATTGATCTACTCCCATGACCACAAAAATGAAGTGGCTTGGAAGGTATCAGCATGTGATATCGAGGGGCGGGGCGCGTCAGCGCTTCAGACGGGCAGGATATTTGGGTAGAGGATAGTGGTATTCAAAGCAGTCAGATAAAAGCGGTGGAATGTGTCAAGCGTATCTTAGGACTAGTAAAATATCTCCTAGAAAGGGGAGAAACTTAGCAAGAAAAACAAAGCAAAAACATACAACAGCCATAGGATCCCTGCGCCTTACAGTAGAGTGAAACACGGCTGGGTAACGCCAATGGTAAGCCCACGGGCAGACAGAAATATCAATATAGGTCACGATTCGCTCTCGGCTCACCTTCCCAAATTTGTACTTCTCATCGTGCAGCTGTTTGCTATTCTTAGAGAGGTACTGCTAAATCGTCAACCTATTGGATGTAGAACCTATATAGGTCAACTATATATTAATAATGTCACGGGATTCCTAAATCCCTTCGGGTACGATTCGGGTACGATTTATAGCCGCTCCGCGGACAAATCTACTACAATACATCTACTAATATATAACTACCCTAAGCCCTAGTAAGCTCTACTAATATTAAAATATATAAATAATAGCTACGATTCTTATCCTATAAGAATCAGTTCTATATATTAACTATTCTATTTAATCTCTACTATTTAATATCTTTATCTAGTTATAGGTCTCTAGCCTAATAACTTAGTAATTATTATAATTCTAATTCTTCTCTCTTAACTACCTAAGGATTAATAATAATACTTTTTATATACTAAAACCCTATATCCTTTTATAATAGTACTTAATCTAAGTTTACTATATCTTTCTCTTTTATTATTAGATAACCTAAGGTTAAATTAGTCCTAGATTAAAGAAATTATTAGTAGTCTTATAACTAAAAGTATTAATAGACTTAGAAGTATTACTATAAATATCTTAGAAGAGAAGAGATATAAACTAGAATATCTAGAAGAGTTCTTTATAATTTATATTTATCTTAAAGAGCTCTTTATTTAAGTCTCTAGAATTAATATTAGGGCTTTTTTAGATAATCTATTTATAGCTTATAGAGAAACTAAGATTAAAATATATAAGAAAATAGAGGATTTTAAGATTAATAAGTTTAAGAAATTATTTAATCTTTAAGAATAAGTAAATTAGCTCTTATAGTTTAAATATATTTTTTAAGATAATCCTAGGATCTATAAGAATAAAAAGATAAAGATCTTTATAAAAGTTAAATATCTTAACTCTAATTATAAAAATAATTAGATTATAGAGAAGAGATATCTTAAAAATAATAATAATTATTATTTTAATAACTAGGAATACTTTAAAGAATAGATTCTTATCTTAATATATAATAAAAATATCTTTATTAAAGAAGTTAGTAATAAAATAAAGTATTATTACTAATAAACTAATAAAGAACTAAAGATCTTTTATTATTATTTTATAGATCTAGAATATTATCTTCTTTAGATCTTTTAGAATAAGTAAATATATTACTATATATTAAAACTATAACTATAATTAATATTATATATTTATTAATATATAAAGATTTCTTTTAAGACTTAAATATAATAAATAGAAAAAGTATAGAGTACTTAGAAATTTATAAAAATAAAGATATATAAATATAATCTATTTATTAATAATTTAAATTTAAACTTAAAATATCTATAATCTAATAATTTATTTCTAAATTAGTTTAATAATATAGAATAAGACTAAAAGAATCTTAGAAATCTATATTTAAAAAATCTTTATAATTCTAGATTTAACTTAAATTATAATAACTCTAAGTTATATTTAAATCTCTTTTATTTTAGAGATAAATCTTAATTATTTCTCTTTTAGAATAAGAATAATCTAAATAATATATTTATTAAAAAGACTAATCTATTTAATTTATTTAATCTATTTACTAAAATCCTTTTAAATAATTATTTTAATTATAGTAAACTAAATTATTAAATAAATAAATATTATCTATTATTATAAATCCTAAAGATAAAGATCTAAAAAGCTTATTTAAAATCTTAATATTACTATTATAATACTTAATTAAAAAACTTAAGAAAAATACTAGGATTAAATTAACTTCTATAAATTCTAATTTCTAGTTTTAAATAAGAATAGTTATTTATCTCTATATTCTAATTTATATCTAAAATAATATTAAGATATATATAAATATTAATATCTATATAGAGATAGATCTTATTAATTATAAATTTATTTAGAAATATTATTTTAATTAAGCTAAATATAATATTCCTATTCTAGAAATAATAGATTAATAAAATATCTCTATCTATAGTATATAGATTATTTTAATTACTATATATAACTCTTAAAAACTAAGTAAATATTTTTATATCTTTATATTATAGTTAATAAAGATTCTTATCTATTAGAATTACTAGTACTATTATTAAATATAATTATCTAAGAAATATAAATTATATTAATCTTATAGTAGAAATAATAATAGTTTAAATATAAAAGAGAAATAATAAAATAGTTAAAGTCTTACTAGTTTATAAAAGTATATAAGAACTAAGTCTATATCTTTATAATTATTAAAACTCTAGAAGAAGTCTAGCTTTCTTTAGAAGAAGAAGAAAATAAATTAATAATAAGTTAAGATTAAATCTCTTTTAAATTATTAGTATTCTAAGATATATTTAAAGTATAAAACTTTAAAATTATACTACTATAAAAAGAGACTAACTATTTAATTAAACTTAAAGAAGATATATTATCTCTATATAGTCTAATCTACTTCCTCTTATAGATAGAACTTATAGAGTTATAGAAGTATCTTAATAAAAACTTAATAAATAGTTAAATTAGACTATTAAAGAGTCTAGCTAATATACTTATCTTATTTATACTTAAAAAGAATAAAGAGCTATAGCTCTATATTAATTATTAAGATCTAAATAAGATTTTAGTTAAAAATTAGTACTCTCTACTCTTTATTTTAGAGATTCTTAATTATCTTTTTAGGATTTAATTCCTTAATAAAATTAATATATAAGATATATATTATTAAATTTATATTTAAGAAAAAGAAGAATAGAAGATAGCTTTTTATATAAAATATAGCTATTTTAAATATATAGTTATACTATTTAGTTTTATTAATATATCTATAATATTTTAAAATTATATCTATATTATACTTTATAGCCTTTTTAATATTATTTATATTATATATTTTAATAATATTCTTATCTTCTCTAGGATCTATAAAGAATATATAGAATATCTTTATCTTATACTTAAAAGATTAAAAGAAATATAACTATTTATAAAAGTCTTTAAATATTAATTCTATAAGAAATAAATTAAATTCTTTAGTTTTATTATTAGTTAAAATAATATTTTTATAAATTTAGAATAGGTTTAAGCTATTTAAAAATAGAAATAGTCTATATTCTATAGAGAGATTTAAGTCTTCCTAGGATTCTATAACTTCTATTAAAGATTTATTAAAAATTACTTTTTAATTATATTACTATTTATAAAGCTTTTTAAAAAAAGTAAAAATAAGAAAAAACTAAGAAATATTAAACTAAATAACTATAAATTAAAAGTATTTTAGAATCTTATTAATATCTTTTTAACTATATCTCTTCTATAATATTTTAATCTAGAGAAATCTATTTAGTTTAAAACTAATATTTTAAGTTTTAAAATAGATAGAATCTTTTTATAACTAGATAATTAAAAATATAGTATTCTATTATTTTCTAGTTAAAAAAATTCTTATTTATAGAATAAAACTATATAATACTAGATTAAAAACTATTTATAATAATTTATTTATTTAAATACTAATATTAATATCTTAAAGAAAGTTAATATTAGATTAAGATTCTAATAAATTACTATAATCTAAAATTATTTATAGATTAATCTAAGATTAATAGAAAATAAATATGTTAGTACTTTTTTTTTACTTTATTTAACTTTATAATATATTATTACTTAAGAAAAACTAATCTTATAAATAGATTATCCTATATCTTAGAAAAAAAAGAAGTCTCTATCTATAAAAAAGATATTAAGATTAATTTATAAAAGAATTATAACTAAATTATTTATAAAAATATAGTAGTTTACTACTAATATAATATTATTTAGAAAGAAAAATAAAAAGAAATAAGGATTAATAATTATAATTATATTAATCTATAGAAGTCTATTACTATCTTTTTTTTTAATTATAAATAGCTTAACTAATAACTTAAAATTAAAGTTAAACTAGGTTTAAAATAATACTACTATTCTTATAGATTAAAAGAATCTAGAAAAGATTATAAATAAGTCTAATAAAACTAATTATTTAGATCTAAAAAATAATAAAGAAGTTTTCCTAAATTAAAACTATAATATAATTAAGTTTTTCTTAAGTTAAGATTATAATATATTATATTATAAGGTTTTAAGTTATTTTTAATTTATATTTCTTTAAATAGTAGTTATTATAACTATAAATAAAGATCTATTTATAGATAAATCTCTAAAAGAACTAAAATTATTAATTAAAAAACTTTAAGATAAAAATAAAATAATCTAAAAAAGAATTAATATAATTTAGAAAGATATTTTATAAAGAAAATATTAAAGTATTAACTTTAAAAAACTTTTATATTATAAAAAATATCTTTATATTTCTATTACTAAGAATCTAAGATAAATACTAATTAAACTTTATTATAATAAATAACTTATAAAATATTTTAAAAGAATATATATAGAAGAACTTCTAAAAAAGAAATTCTATTAAGAATATTTATTAAAGAATATATAAAAATATATTAAAACATATTTAATATATTAAGAAATTAAAGTATTTAGATATTATTTCTATAGAGAACTCTAATCTTTTCTTATATTTTATAGACTATTTATAAAATTAAATATAGATTTTATTATAAGATTTTTAATTATAATCTTTAAAAAAAGAAAATATAATATAATCTTAATAATTATCTATTAACTTATAAAATTCTTTTAATTCTTTTTTATTAATAATAATATATATAAAAAATCTTATTAAACTTTTTTTTAATTAAATTAAACTTAAATATAGAAATCTAGAAAAAATTATTTTTAATTAAAAACCTATTTTTATAAATAGATTCTAGTTATAACTTTATTATTATTCTAAGATTAAATTATAGTTTTTTATTATATTCTATTTCTAAACTAATAAATAAATAGAAAGATTTAACTAGATTTTAGAAGATTATCTTAAATATTTTATTAATAGAGAATAATTAAACTAGACTTAACTTCTTAAAATAATATAATTTATATATAATAATACTATTAATATATTAATTAATAAGATTTCTTTTTATATATTACTTAGATATAATCTTAATTTCTAAATCTAAACTCTTAATAAAATACTTAAGAAAAAGATCTTTAATATTAAAAAATAAATAAATTATCTCTAAAATATTTATAAAGAAACTATAAATAAGTTTTAAATTATATAAGAAATATAATAGAGATCCTATAATAAAAACTATAAGCTAAAAGATTTTAAAATAGAAACCTTTATATTTCTTTTAATAAAGAATCTCTACTTTAAAGCTAAAGAAAAAAAACTATTTTTTTATTAAATTAAATCTTTCTATATCCTTATAAAAGTTAATACTTAGGCTTATTATATTATATTACTAGAAAAATACTTAAGATTATATAATATTTTCTCTATCTCTCTTTTTAAACTATAGAATAGTTAAAATAATAATAACTTATAAATACTAATATTAGAACTTAAAAATAAAAAAGAATAGGAAGTTAAAGAGATTTAAGATAAAAAAGTCTTTAATAAAGTACTATATTACTATATAAAATAAATAAAATAGTCTTTAGAATATAACTAATAGAAACTAGTAGAATACTTAGAAAATATAAGAGATATAATAGTTTTATTTAAGAAAAACTAAGCTTATAAAATAATATCCTAATAATACTAAAAACCCTCTAAAACCCCCTTAAATTATCTTTAAATTAATACTAGATAAAGAAAAGTTATATTAAATAAGGCTACTTAGTTAAAAAAGGGGAGAATAAGTAAAATAAAAATAATAATCTCCTTGACTCGTATTAACGAAGACTTAATTGGCCTGTAAGATCACTCCGCAAAGAGCTTGAGCTTAAGTACTTGGTATGTATTGCATAAGTACTCAGTATGCATTGCATAACCTTTAATATTGAAACATATCTATATGACTACCGGGGCTACTCAAATAACATATTCAATGATAGTTTTGAAAGAGAGAACTGTACAGTTTGTGCCATATATACACGCAAATTTTCTTGTATTATACGAATTGATCTATATAAGCTACCACATATTATTTACCATGCATAGCTCGTAACCTCCGACATTACAATGTGCGCAATCTCTTACCATGCTCCAACAATACCAGCCACCGGAATATCAATTCCAGTAGTATATGAGGCACCATCAGAGAGCAAGTATACATAAGCCCCACCAAGCTCCTTTGGGTCAGCTAGTCTAGGCATACCACCATAGTACTGCATCTTGAGATCCCAGTCCGGAGCTTGATCCACAAAATAAGTCATAGCAGTCTTGATAAAGCCGGGGGAAATTGAATTCACACGAATACCATGTTTAGCCCATTCCATAGCCAAGGTATGTGTCATATTCCGCACTGCACCCTTCGTAGCTCCATATGGAGCCGAAGGCGCCGCACGATTGGGTCGATAAGATGTCATAGAAGCAGTGAAGACAATAGACCCTTTGATACCTAGATCAATGAACCGACGAGCAACAGTAGTTGCACAAAAGTAAGCGCCGAATACGTTTAGATTGAACAGTTGGTCCAGCTGGGCGCGCGTAAAGTCGAATGCTGGCTGATGCTTGGTCATGCCTGCATTGGCGATAAAGCCATGAATAGCGCCTTGTGCAGCAATCACAGCGTCTATTGCAGAGCTTACACTCTCTTCAGAAGTGACATCGCAGTGCACGTAATGCAATTTTTTCGGATTTGCTTTTTGTAAGGCGGCGAATTCTTCGCCGGGCTCGAATACGTCCAGACTGAAAATGGCGGCTGCATCGTTGGCTAGACAGACTTCTGCTAGAGCTAGACCAATACCCCTGTTGGCACCGGTAATGGCAATCACTTTGCCCTCGAGTGTAATTTTCCAGTTATAGTCTGGGCCTGGTTGGGTATCAAGGAAGGCAGGTGATGTATTTGAAGTTGTCTGGCTTGTTGCATTGCTGCCATTGATGGCTGGGTTGTCGAGCAGACTGGGAGGCATGGTGTAGAATGTGTTTTCGATACAAGAGTGAATGAGGATAATGAGGATTAACACCAAAAAAAGGAAAAATAGACTGATTTAAGTCTGTCATAGTCTGACCTGCTAAACGGTACACAGAGCTCCATCGCCATGGTACAACCCCACTGCCCACTCTGCCCCAGACTGGTCCGACTACATCTTCTCATGGCAAAATCTGCAGATAAACGACGAACAGAATCCTCCACTTGATTCAACTGCTTCGAAGCGAGCTCGATGTGTGGGGTGATTGGCTTGTGATTGGCGAAAAAGTCTGATGGCCCCTCGCATCGAGCCCACGCCCCACAGTCTTGGCCATCTTGGCAAGTAACTGACTTGGAGAAATGGCGGCTCCGACGATGGACTAAACTTTTACTTGTTTCAGTGCAAGAAACATTAAGATGAATACTAATTCATAAATCCATTGGGTTGCTCACAGCTCGCTTACTGACCCGATCGCTTCGAGACCACTTCAACCGTTTCATTCCATACCCAGGTGATTTACGGCATCAGAACTTTGTAGATACAAGCATCATGAACCATAATCTATCGGAAGAAGTGGCAATTCATAAATCAATGATTCGACATGTCTCTTCAAGTTCAAGTTCAACGTTTTAAGGGCAACGCCAATACTATTCTGTCAACTTCACATCGAGAATATACGTCCCAGCATCGTTGATACATCCGACTGACATTACATTCCATGATGTCTAACAAAGGTGCAACTTCACTTTATACAAAGGCTAGCGAGAAAAAGCTAGAGAGAAACGCGGGTGTCGCCGCCATCCAGCACTTCTTTCAAACCCAGTATCGAACAAGTCAGCCTCATAGTGACCCGAGGTTCTCACCTCAAGTCACGCTTTCAGTAGATGAAGCACTCCGCATTATCATCAACCAATCCCCGGAGCCTATTGCAGTCGATAGCTCAGTGACCACATCTATCATTGGATCAGTTATTGCCAACGATGTTCATGCCTCCAGAATGATCCCATCGTCTCACGTTAGTGCTATCGATGGCTACGCAATAGTCGTGGAGCAAGACGAATCCACACGTTGTGTTTTTCCTAAAACCCTAGCCCTGAGTTCAAAGATCGACGAATACTCTGGGGTACTACGGTCAGACACAGCTGTTAGAATTACTACTGGTGCTCCTCTTCCTCGAAATGCCAATGCCGTGGTCAGTATGGAAGATACAATACTTGACGAACGTGGGGGAGAAAGTGTTGGAATCATTACCAATGACATTACGATAGGCAAAAGTGTGCGCGAGCCCGGCAGCCACATTCCTCTGCACTCACGACTGTTTGCTTGTGGTGATACTCTATCGCCGGTCAGCGGGGCAATCAGCTTACTTGCTTTGGCGGGTGTCTCGACTGTCAAAATATTCAAGAAGCCTCGAGTCGGTATCCTGAGAAGATCCGAAAACCTCGTGGATCTCAATATGCAAATGTGCGAGGCCAGTCATTTATCTGTCTTGTCGGGGTTGGCTTCATGGGGCGTTGAGATCGTGGATCTCGGCACTGTTCACGGCACGTCAGATGAATGGCTATATCATGCATTGCATGCAAACGTGGATATTATACTGATCACCAATGGCCAATCAATCGAACTAGACCTCAAGTCCACTATTGAGAGCACACTGGGCGGTGCCATTCACTTCAATCGTGTTGCCATCAAACCCAGCAGCCATACCATGTTCGCGACAATACCCATTCCTGCTACTGAAAATGTCTCGAGACCCATATTCTCGCTCCCAAGCGACCCAGCATCTGCATTAGTAGCTCTAAACATCTTCGTCTTGCCTTCATTGAACAAAATGAGTGGCCTTGGTGAGAGCGCTCATGCGGTCGCTGCTGAGCCCTGGATGACAACACAGCTAGGCCTGCCTCGTGTGGCCGTTGTTCTGACACATCACTTTCCTCTTGATCCTAGACAAACTGAGTACCACCTTGCTGTTGTGACGGGCTCTCGGTCTGATGCTAGGTTGTATGCGACTAGTATTGGTTCTGGGGCTTTGGAATCGCGTCGCAGTCGTGACCTTAAGAGGAATGACGCGAATGCGTTAATTATACTCCGTGTGGGGCGAGGAGTTGGAATCAAGGGTGAAATTGTGGAGGCGCTGCTGATGGGTCCTATTCATGGCTCGGACACGCGACTTATCTGCTAGGCCTTTACAAGGTTTGCGATAGTTTCCGCAGGCGTACAGGTATTAATGGTATTTATCTGGAAACAATCAATGTCACTATACTTGTAATTGTTAGCAGAAATGTTGCTTGGGTTAGTAACCCATTTAGCTTGTTTATGTTCATCATTCGACATTCATTCAGACTCTACTCGGAGTCTAAACACTTAGAAGACTTTTGATCTTGATATATCCTATTCTATAGCACTCAATTCTTTTCAGGGGATATATCGGCTGAAAGCTCAAAAGAAAATAAGAAAAGATATACACTCCGAAACTACAAATTAATAAAATAGTATATCAAACAGATGTAAGGTATATCATAGGCCAAATTAATTGGACCGGACATAGCCAATTCTCCCTTTTTAGGAGCTTAGTACTAACTCTAGGGATTTTTCTAAGATACTAAGACCAGACTTAATCTAGTCCTCAATAATAGTCAGAGTAGGAACAAAACAAAGATAGCTATCGCCAGCAGTAATAATAAGTATGCTATACTTACAAGCAGCAATAATAATATCACCTACCTTACAAGCGGCAAATAAAGATAGCTATAGACCTAGAGTTAGACTATAGCTACGAATCTTAGAGATAGAGTCAAAGAACTTCTTTTATAGAGCTTAGAAGCTAACAACAAAGACCTTAGACTTCTTCTAGACTATACTTTAGAGCTTAGGGTTAACAAGATAAGTAATAATATAGTAAACAATATAGTAAGCTAAAGGATTTCTATCGAGATAATACTATAGTCACTAGTCTTGATATAGGTACTAATAGTCTTACTAAAAATGATGGTTTTATGTTACGGCATACATGCATGTTGATATTGGAGCAAATGAATCACCGAGGGTTCCAGCCCCGGACCCCTCACGTGAGGCACACGAACCGTGGTTGATATAAACTGCATGAATGCTTGGAAGTAGGAGACTTCCAAGGATTAGTTTCTGTATAACTTCATGAAAGAACTCTATCCAATATCGCCACTCTTTATCTGCCTAACCTATTGACGTCAACCTTATCAGATTAATCTGTTTTTTTATTTGCTTTTAGTAGTAGAAGAGTAGCTAGGTATATTATTCCTCTCATTAATTGATTACATTTGAATTGATTAATTCTAGTCTAAATCAAGATAATGAAATATCAAAAGCCTTATTATTCCAAATCAATTGAATACAGCAGCCATACAGCTAAGCAAAGCCTATGTCTCTATATTTTATGCAAATCACATGATCTTATCAACTACCTCACTTATGGCCATGTTATGGGCGGTATGGGTATGCCCATGGGTCTGCATAGGTCTAATAAGGGAGATGTCCAAGTCCCTCTTCAGGATATTTGGGAAATTCTGGATTCGATCCAAGCTGCTAGTTAGATCAAATTCTGGATCAGTCAATATGGCCACCGGCCTGCGAGACGGCTTTGCCGCTCCAGTCGCACGCCTGAAACCAGCATAAATCGCACATATGCAGCTTGCCACACCGACATCCCGACTGTAGATAAGCGTACAGCATAGGGGGGCAACAAAACGCCCATCGACCATGTGACAGCAATAACGAAACATAATTGGACAAAACCCAAATATGCAGTAAGAAAGGACCAAAAATCGTAATCAATGAACAATTCATTCCTGCATATTGCACATCATTCATTCCTGGTCTTCACCGAGATGCGGGGGCCACATCGAGGGGTCTGGGGGAGGTATCCACTATCCACTGGAAGCCTCACCGGGACGACCAACACAGTTGGTCCAATACAAGGACGCTGGAGCCGGAGAGCCAATTTGGATATGACAGAAGTCAACGTGGATAATAATTTCCGCTGGAAAGCGAATGTTCAGGCCTCCCCAAAACGAAACAAAACTAGGATTTTCTGTGGTCCGCTGCATGTCAGATTACCATGGTGAAGACTTGGCAGGATTGTGGCAATTTTCGAGATAAGACCAAAAAAAGGGATCTGGGGATCTTCATGGGTCGGTCTACTTGCCTGGGCTGTGGAACATGATCCGCGATAGGCGAGGTTCCTAACTGAGCCAAGACGGGTATATCAAACAGTAGTCTTGGCGGATCACCGTCGCATCACCGTGGCGCGACTTGGCAGGTATTCGGAGCGGCTTATCCCTCGCATTTGGGCTTGATTATTGTCTGGGCATTGTAATAAAAAGGAAGGGTATGTCAGACATGTGGCCCCTGTTGTGTAACTTTAATGATGAAAGATAAGATATGTTCAAAAAAGGTTATGTTGGATTGTCAATTTGGCTAGATGACTTCATACTATATGTACCCATAAAGATAGGAAGAAGGATCTGCAATTCACAAAATGGAAAAGGAAAAATAACAATAAAAAGGTAAAGTTAAAAAAAAATTGTTCCCAATATCTCCATCAGATAGGTAGCGCCTTAGAACACCCCGGGTGATTGTCCACCGATTGTTTCCAGTTGGTCAACAGCCTCAAGATCCTGGACTGGACTATTCGAGGGGGTGAACCATGTATGAAGGATGAATAGATCTCTTGACCCATTATAGTAAAATGCATCTGTCGCTGGCAAAGTGATAAAACAAGTTCATAAAGAGCACGGATAAATCAACGAAGTGCGAGCTGATTTATCGAGAGTAACGGCGGGAAGTGGCACCAAGGTATAGGAAACCACTTGGCAGCAGGCCATCGTTCAATTGCTCCTCGTTGGAGGAGACAGAGGAAGAGCTGTCTGATCGGTGAGACTTGGGGGCTGGGTTAGAGCCCTCAGAAGAGGTAGACTCAGCCACGGCCTGCTCATCAGGGCCAGACTCGGTAGGAGACAAAACCAGGAACTTGTTGGCAGGGTTGTAGGGAGCCGAGCTGGTGGCAGAGAGAACGAGGAAACGGTGAGGGGGGGCGATGGTGTACATTTTGGTAATGAACTTTTGGTAAGTTTTGATATGTTAAAGTAGTAAATTGGTAGTTTTGGTAGTAGACGGAGGTAGATAGTGCGATTTTAGAAGGAATGAAGATATGCTGGACTTTTTTAGGGGAAGAGCAAGTTGGGTTGAATGAGAATTAAATCAACAGACGGGTAGAGTCGGCGGACTTTATATCTTGGGATTTTTTTTTTCCACCGTGGACCTTGGAGAATGAGGGGCATACCGGTGTATGATGATGTGCCCGAAGGCGCGTCGATCCAGCACAACTCAGCCGGGGGGAGTGGATACCCGATAGTCACGCAAACCAACAAACCAAGTCCCCTTCCCCCGCGATTACCCATAATCGACAATCCTAAACAATAGGCAATCTCACATGTCTTGGCCCTCTGCAAAATGAAAATCATTACAAAAAAGCAAAAAAAGGGGGGGTCAAAGGCCAAGACGTCACTATTGGACGACTATCACCCCCTTCTGCTCTCATCTTTCCAATTCTTCGAACATCGCCCCTCTTGGCTTTGGTATTTAGGTCACACTGGCCCGGTTAGGGGGTGACTTGGTAGTCATTCTCAGAGCCATGGCAAAAATGCATCTTCTTGGCAAATCAGCCGTCAGCGAGATTTCCTTCTTGGGATTGCTAATCGCTAATTGCGCAATTCATGTGCACGTTTTTCCCACTTTTTTTTCCTTTTCTGTGCAATTTCAGGCACAGTACTCTGTCTCCCGTGACGAGCCGAAAGTCAAAGCTTGGAAAGAACCTCGGAAGATCCGCAGCCAGGATGAGGGGCCAAGTAGCCAGCGTGGGAAGGTAATGGGCTTTCACAGGCTATTAGCCTGTCCACACTCGTATGCAGCACGCGAAATCAGTGCGGAGACATCTTGCATAGTCGCATGTTTCATTGACCATGGTCGGAGCCCCGATTATCTCCGACTCTTGTATTTCTTTTCCCGCTGTGCGCTCGCATGCACAGTTGAGTCCGCGTAGTTTTCCGGGCTCTTTGCAGGACGCGAACCTTTCCTTTTTGCAGAAAAGGGACCGTAAATGACATCATGGCTTCTGAGGGAGATCCTTTTAAACGAGTCGGTAACTCTCCCGATCCCCCAAGGCTGTTTTTTGTCTGAGCTGTGCGGAGTGTGTGGGGAAGGTGTTTCCGGCTGAGTTAAGGGGGAACAGTAGTCGATTCAAGACCGCTCTTTTCATTTCCCCTCATAGACATAGTAGTTGAATTCTGACAAGGTCGCGCAGCATTAGTAGTTCGATTGGAGAAAGAGATAGGAGGTGCCAACTGGACACTAGAGCCTAGGAGGTCATCCCTTGTACTTAGCTGGCAGGGGAAAGAACAACCATCCATCACGTGGTATACTTCTCCTGCACTCACAACTTAATCACTTTCGACTTTTCCAATTTCCTTTGTTCAATTTCCTCTTTTTTCCCTTTTCTGATTTCCCACCGCACAAACCAACAGCGCCAAAATTGCTGTGACGAGGGGTGGGAAGCCTGTGGATTATCGCTGTGCTTTGCCGCCCGGAGCCTCGACGTATCACACGCCCGGAGTCGATCTCCCGGGGCGCCAGGGGGGAGAGCCTCATGAAAGGGTGACCCATATGAGCGCTACTGCGCCACTCAATGAGCACAGTCATTCTGTGCCAGTCGTCGCAGCCCTAGAAATTAATCTATAGGCCCAGAGTGATTCTTGAAGTTTTCTTTAAATCCTTGATACCCTTCTCCATTCGATCGCTCCATTCGAAAGGGATTCCACTATTGAAGCTGTGCCCGTCTTTCTACCACAACAATGAGCTCTCGTTGCGCCTTCTATGAGCTCATTCTCCGCCTCGCCTAGACTAATTACTGGTCAGAGTGCCTTGTCACAATGCAGCCCTGCTGAGTTTATTCTCACTATCACCAACTGCGCCATTATACCGAGCTTTATTGACCTACGCATTTCGATCTGGGGCATTGATATCTGCGCCGCGCGGGTATTCCCATGATCTAGACCTTCGGTTGTCAAGATATGGCTCTTAGGTTCTCAATTTCGAAAGGACAGTAATGATTATAGTTCCCCATTCAAGCGGGAAATTATTAGCTATCGCAGCTTTATGCATTCAAGGTTGATTTGACTATTTCTTCTCCAGCAATGATTCATTGGTTGTCAAAACACCCCAATCCAGCCAACGAAAATGCATGCACTCAATTTTCCTTTCGCAAATATTTGTTCATGGCTCTTCAGTCTATATACACGAATCATGGAGCAGAGATGGAGTGAACACCCACTTGTTCTGATGTGCTATCCGTTGCATTGCCCCCTGACACCTGCTGTGCCGGCCCCAAGTCCCCACCACGAGGGCAGGTAAGGCAGGTGGTAGTTGCATTGACTCACATCATAATCTACCAAGCATGCATCTCATGCGGCAATTTGTCAGATGAACTACATCTCTGTGCCTGGCTCTTTCAGCAAGCACAAAGTGTTGGTGTGATGCGCAGCCTCATTTGCCGAGCGCGCTGCGCACTGGTACAAAATGCGTGGGGCTTTAGGAAATGATGTCAAGTGCTCGCTGCAGCTGCGGAACTCTGATGGAGATTTGGGTGTGGCCGATGTGATCAACAGTTCGACAACCTTGATACATCCCCTGTTCGTTACTAGTCTCTGCATATACCGGGCTCAAAGGCAGGTATAGCCCACGGGCCCTGCCTTTAATGATCCACTTAACCGCCAACCTTGCCTACTGTTGGCATGAAAAGGCATTCGTATAGAACGGTTGATATTATGTCCCCTGTTTGTGCCCTCCACTTAGGTGGACTTTCGTCACCGAGCGAGTGACCACTAAGTCATTAGATGCATACGGCGCATTTGTCTGTTCTGCGCAGCGCCTGTGGAAAAACAGCGATAGCAAATCCAATTCTTTCAATGGGACCTTGGGAAGTGTATGAGTCTTTTTGTTCTTGCACTGCGGCACAGTCACTACGGAATAGCTGCGCTGAGTATTATAAAGCTGGCCGTTAATCCTCTTCATCTCATCAGTATCCAGTGAACAATCCTGAAATCAACTCAAGGACTTTCTAAGCTTCCTTCTATTCTTTCCAAAAGTACTTAAATTTCCCACATATACACCCACATACGCACACTCCCCTCTACCGCCAAAATGTGCTCCGTCTACATCTTCCTTTACGACTGCGGCTGCTCCGTCGAAGAAGGCGGCGTTGTCTACTGTGCGAAAAAGGGCACTCCATCTTGCCATGGCGTAAAGGAGCATTTAAGACGCCGACAGGGCTACAACTGCCCCAAGCATACTACTGGTAGTGGCTAGATGTCTTTGTGCAGAGTACGTGGTCTTCAATCCATCTACTTATTTTTCCATCTAGAGAGCACTCTGCTAATAGTCTCTATTATAGACATGGATGATCTCGCCACACTGCGCCATGATAAGTCGAGGATTACTGTACACAACTTGGTCGATTTCATGAGGTGTAATCACAGCCTTTGCATGTTTACCCATCAGAAAAGGAGGATAATCAGGAAAGCGCCTTGCCACCACATGACTTAGGTGGGGATTATTTTGTTTTGAAATTTTGTGTTGTATCTGGCTTTGGCTTCCGCGCTTGTATGCCTTTGTATCTTTCGGGCCTTTTTAATGATATTCATTTCTCATGTGGTTGTTTCCCCATCTCGCTCAGTGTTCCCTCTCTACCTTGTTTTCCGTGGTTTCAACACATTCCCCCAGCGGAAGGGACAACACCACCCCATTGAATTTATTTTCTTCTTGATCATTTATTCGTTCATTGAATTGAATTTTTCTTGCATCTCATCAGCTATGCGGTCATTACTATGTTTTGGATGAATTTTGAATAATTTCTCGGTATTCATTTTCAGGATTGCGCTTTATCTACCTCGTAATTACGAACTATCAAGTAGACAAATTTACCTCTATATAAAGTGCGATGAGTTCTTTGTAGCATTTGTCAACGTCCAATTCCTGTATATCTCGTAATTTGGAATTTTGTTCCGGCCAAGACCCTAAAATGAACTTGGATCCTTCGCGCTTATGAAATGTCTATCACGGAGGACTCCACGATCAATACTCATTCAAATAGCAAGAACATACTAGTAGAGCTATCTGTCTCAACAGGCGTACCTAGAAAAGGGTTCGAAGTTGATTCAGATTCGTGAGAAGGATAGGAGGTAGACGGCAACAAGGGCGCGTATACGAATTAGCGGGTACAGGGATGGAGGCAAGTTTTCAAGACGAGCACAATTCCAAATTATTCCCAAGTGATCCATCCACATTAAACGAAGCCCACGAGCGAGCCAGCGTCATCCCTCTCTCGGAATTATAATAAGGACAGTTTTCTGTCCAAAGAGACACGCCGAAATCCTTGATCAAAAAGACTGGGGTCCATCTGAAACCCCTCTTCGAAGCGAGAAAACGGTTAAGAAGATGCAGATCAGATCCAGCCACGCACACATGGGCCATATCAGGGTTGACCACGTTGTTTTGCGTGGGTATGAACCATCTCTTGCATATCCTAGCCCCATCGCGGCACGGGGAACAAAGCGGGAGCCACATAAATGCACCTAGTAATTCTGTCACATCCCCGAGCGAAGATGGCTGCATGAGAACAAAGGAGTTTGATTCCATGCATTCCATTTCAATCACCTGCCCTACTTACCGCGGGATGAAAATCTCCGATCTGAATCCCGGAAGCCTTGTCACGACTTCCTTCCAGGGGTGACTAGAAATTCCGTGGAGGCACCAAGGACAAAGAGGAAAGGACGTGCGAGAGATTCCAGGTTGTCATTGGTGAATCGGGAAATAGCCCAGATATCCCAAAGTCCGATGGCTTTGGAGTCAAACGAATAGATTAGTGGCAATAAACGCGAAGGTGGAACCCGTAGGTATCGATAGGATGGCAGCCGCGGGAAGACAATTATGGGTTGCATTAGGCCCGCATGGGATTTTATCAGCTGATTCTAGACTTGGAAATTTCCAACGATTGCTTGCTTTCTATGGTTGTGGCAGTGAAATGATTTGAGTCTCATGATATACGGAATAACGGGAAAGATAGTGAGTGGCCGGTTTTTTCTTTGTTTTGGAAAGGAAATGGGTCAGGCAGTTTGAGGCCTTGGCTGTTCAGTGGACAGGGGTTGCAAGTTTTCTGTGTTGACGCAATCACACTGTCCGGGGGGTATAAACCTTGCCCCAAGGCGAGTGGCGGCCACGAGGATTGGACTCTAGGACCCCTCTGATATTATCTTCTTTGTCTGCTTATCCCTGGGCAGCAATGTACATGTATCCATTCTGCCTGGCGTTACGAGAAAGGGGGACCGGAGGATCCTGAGAACCATACATACAGCTCTGGGGGCCATACGTTGGCTTCGGAAATCTCGGGCTCCCCGATGAACTCCAGAATTTAGGGTCCCACCTAGCTAGTGAGCCGCCGGTTCCTGTTGATGGGCAAGTCGAACGGTATATTCCACACTAACATGTGTGGATATGGTTCCTCGATACGAATGCTTCACAAGAGCAGCCATCATCTGAGCTGTGGAAAATCATACATGCCTTTTGCGCATGGAAAGCGAGCATAATTTGGTGGCTTCAAGCATTATCGCCAAGTGTGGCTCTGTATCCAATGACGCTAAAATCGATAGCTCAACGATCGCTATGACCGGAACCAGACTTTGAGAAGGCGGGTGGAGCGCCACGCTGGATCACGCTTCATCCTATGAACAAGACCATTAGAAACCCGAAAACACGACCGTAGATCAATTGAGATGTGACAAATGACCTGTAATGATTCATGGCCATTTATTGATTGCCTTTAAGCTCGTGGCATCGCCAGGAATGAAAGATCTCAACTTAATGATCTGCAATGTCGTCCACAAGTCACGTGACACCGCGTCAAACAGCGGGTTTCCTTAGCTCAGGAAGCTTTCTCCCTCTCGCGATCCCATAAGAAATAATAAAAGTCAATTTGATATTGCATATGTGATGTCCATCGAAGTCGATTGGGCAACGGCCACCTCCGGCCCAGACGGAGAAGCTCTGGCAGAGCGCATCCGCTCATTTGTCCACGACAAGTTCCAAGAAGTTGCACTACCACGCTTCATCCGCTCGGTCCAAGTGCACTCCTTCGACTTCGGCACTATAGCACCTGATCTCGAGATAAAAGATTTCTGCGAACCCTTTTCGGACTTTTACGAAGAAGACGACGACGATACATCCGCCACCTCCGAAGAACTCGTCGAGCAATGGTCTCACTCAGATTACGAAGATGAAATGCCTCTAGGCCACAGCCCCCGTAACCTCGCTCACCACCCATATCCAGGCGAGGGGTTTCAACCTTCCGCGCTTCGCTCCCCACTACCACTCGGCGATCACCTTAATCCGCATTTCATGCCTCGCGCAGGAACCCCCGGCATTCCGGGCGGAACATCAAATCTGGGCTACCACCATCTAATGCTGGGTGGTCTTTCAGGAACTCAAACGCCCCTTGCAGCCGTTGCGGGTGGTACACCATTTGCAAGCGGCTGGTCCGATTTGGGAATAGGACATGCCGGTAGAGTTCCACGTGGACCTGCACGCTCTTCAATGCATCAGCAACGCCCAGATCTCGATGTAGACACTACACACTCTGCTTCTCGACCTTCTACTGCAAATACACATCCTTCGCATCCTTCCATCAGCCAGAATACTGGAAGTAGTGGCTCAAATCGCAATAGCGCCGAGAACCCCGCTGATATCCCGCAGCCATCTGTTGAAGATGCGATCGACGACGACCCCACTATGCCAATTCCACCGCGTATGCGTGAACGCCGACCAGATGATTTTCAGATCCTGTGTCATGCGAAATACGCCGGTGATGTGCGCATGTCACTTACCGCGGAGATCTTACTTGATTACCCCATGCCCAGCTTTGTGGGTCTTCCATTAAAGCTTAATGTAACTGGTATTACATTTGACGGTGTGGCGGTGGTGGCTTACATTCGTAAGCGTATACATTTTTGTTTCCTATCTGCTGAGGACGCGGATGCATTGCTCGGTTCTGAAAGTCAAAATCAAAGTAGCCAGAATCCTGGTGAGGATGGACGACCAAAGTCTGGGGAGCAAAAGCGACAGGGTGGATTATTACAAGAGATACGGGTAGAGAGTGAGATAGGACGGAAAGAAGATGGGAAACAGGTCCTAAAGAATGTAGGGAAAGTTGAGCGCTTCGTTCTTTCACAAGTGCGCCGCATCTTTGAGGAGGAACTGGTCTACCCCAGTTTCTGGACTTTCCTGGTCTAATGGACCTTCATTACGAGGCCGCCATTTCATATATACCGGGTTCCTGGATAATAAATAAAGATAGTTACGAATTTCATGAATAAGAGAAAGATGATTTATGACTCGAGAGAATCCTATCTGCAATGCAAGATATTATTGTTCCGATAAAAACATCATGAATGACCAAAATGCACAGGCTTCCAGAAACAGAAGCAAATATTTCAAGTTCCTGGCTCTTCCACGAACTCCTTTGAAAATTCCTGGTCTGATAGGAACGGAGGAGATTTCCAACCGGAAACTTCGCCTCTGAGGTGCGGGACAAGGGCCCGAGAAACAAGTTTTTGAACAGTTTTTAAATAGATGTGTCCAGAAGGATTCCTCGACAGGCGAGATCCTTCGGCGAGAAGACAAGAGATAGAAATAGCAATCTAGGCCCCAAGATCGACAACGGAGAGCGAATATGAAGCATCTCGCACCATTCAAGGATTACGACAGACTCAAAATCCCATTGACAAGACTTTACGTCGTTATCTCAAGGCAAGGACAGATTTACTGACCCTTCTTCTCGTTCTTATCTCCCTTGCCGACAGAAACCTCATCACCAAGCTTGTGATATTCACGGGTCAAGCCCTCACACTGCTTCTTCAGGGTCTCGATATCACGGTCCTTCTCAGCGAGCTTCTTTTTCAAGCTGCCAATCTCGCCAACAGATCCAGCCTCAGCAAGACGGGCGGAGTCCTTGCCACCAGCCTTCTTGTCGCCGTCAAGAAGCTTGACGCGGTCCTCGAGACGAAGGACCTCCAGAATCATGGTGTAGGTTCGGTTGAGAATCAGGGAAAGGAAAAGAGTGAAGCCACAGAGATACATGTTGCGTTGCGAGTAGAATTTGCGGGCCTGCACCTCCATACGGTCAGTGCCGAGATGAGCAGCTCTGCGACTCGAGTCTGTTAGTTATGCTTTCAGTGAAAATGTGACTGAGGACATCTTACCCAAGACCGGCGCCATCCTTGGTGAAGGCAGCGAGCTCCTGTTGGACCCGGTACACGCGGTTGACGCTGTCGAGGAAAAGAATCAAGATGAAGATGAAAGTGATCTGATATGGGTTAATTGAACTGATGAAACTGGGTCCTGGAATGGGCAAATTACCTTCAATCCGTATTGAAGCTTAGCGATAATGGGGCTCTCCGAGATGAAAGCAAAAAGCTTGCGTTTGATGGTGAATGGCAGAGGGATGATGAGGGCCAAGAAGACGCCCATCTCAAACACCAGGAGCATGAAAACCTATCCAGCGTAATCATATTAGTTTTCTGGTATCCGAAATTGAGTATGCGTGGCCTTGTCGCGGGTAGACATGTAGAGTCTGCTGGTCGTGCGCGGCTAGGCTCCAACCATACCACCACCGACCCAAGCTCACAACAAGAGCACCAGGAGGGAAACTATTTCGGAGACACATACAAGACTGTAGTAAAGAGTCATCTTGGCGACTTTAGTCGATCAAATGCCCCTTGGGATTGATTGTTCGAGCTGACCAACAGGGGAGTGGGGGATTGGGGAGCTCCGGGCTGAATTGAGTAAACAAAACACCAGCAAAGTAAAGGGGTTAAATGTAGGGTGTTCAAAGAGTATAAAGGTCAGTCACTGAAAATGCCGACGTGTTGAATTGGGCAGGAGGGGAAATTGGAAGAGTCGCCGATGCTGATGCAAGGTTCCAAGGTTGTTGGCCTTTATGGGGAGTTTTCTGGGTTTGGGGGGAACAGACGTCATCGAGTCATCTACCACGTGACCTGGTGGGCCCTTCAGCTATATGACGCTGTAAGATCAGCACTCATGTGAAAGTTAATGCTTGTGCTAAGCTCCAAAATTAAAGTATTTCTATTGTCGGGGGGTCTGTCAGAGCTAAGAGCCTAAGATTCTTATGTGTATCGCTAGTTTCGTGTGATTTAGGTATTATCAAGCATTGAAAATTTAAAAATTTACAGCACCATGTAGACACCGAATGTTGCGTGTAAAAGTCATAAGTTGAATAAACGCTAGAGAAGGCAATATTCCATCAAATTTACATGGAAGAATAATAATGCATACCCTCTATGTACAAATCAGATTTTACTTTTCATATCCTCGTCAAAACAGTTTTAACCTTCAGCCTCCTCATAAGAATTGGACTTGTGCTTAGGCTCAAACTTGAAGTCCTTGTGTGCAGGACCCAGGAACATCTCACTAAAACATACCATGTTAGTTAATGTTCATTGAAATTAATCAGAATATGAGACAGAACTTACGTGATCTTAATCCAATCCTTGTAGTTTCCACTTCCCATCAGAGTCTCCATTTCATTACGTCCACGGAAGGCAGGGGGTCTATCGTTCATGTGGGGAGGAAGATACTCGAGCAATCCAATAGGAACATAGCGATAAGTGAAGCTGAGCCATTCCAGCATGAATCGACGAGTCTGACCAATACCGTACTCATCAGATCCCCAAGCCTCAAGACCATATTTGGCAAACTTCTCAATATACGAAAGACGCTCGGATGCAGACTTGTCGAGGTACTGACCAGACTGGATCTCCTCGAAAAGCCATGGCTTAATCAAGGCACCACGACCAGCCATGACGGAATCCACACCAGCGTTTTGGATGTGGTTATCGTAGTCAACATGCGAGTAACAATCTCCGTTTCCGAGAAAGTAGGTCTTTCCGCCATTTGGCTGGAATCGAGCATCGGGTTCCCGGATCGTGTCAGTGACGATATCGGTCTTCTCATTCATACGCTTAATGAGAGCAGCGCAGTCGGCGATATAGCTCCAGTCTGCTTCCTTGGTATACCGTTGCTGTCTGCTTCTGCCGTGAAGAGTAATTGCTGCAACACCAGGAGGTCCAACGTTGAGGTATTGGGATTCGTGACCACCCAGAATAAGACGCTCGGTAAGCTTCAAGGCAACTGGGTTGTTGTCCTTGACTCCCATGCGGATCTTGACAGTGATGGGGATCTTCTCTGAAACCATGTTCATACCACGGATGATCTTCTCCAGCTTGGAGTGGTGGTCTAGTAGAGCAGAGCCTGCACCCTCGCGGAAGAGAAGGTCAATAGGGCAACCACAGTTCAAATCAATAACACGTAGATTGGGTGTGAATTTTGAGAGAAGCTCAGTGGCTTTGACTGCTTGCCATGGCTTATTGGCAGCGATCTGAGCTCCGAACTTGAGATCTTGGGAGTTGTCATAACCTTGAACCACATTCTTTCCCTGGATAATAGAAGGAGGAAGCATCTCCGACTCATGCGACTTCATCAATGCCCACTCGGACTTGGCACCTTGAATAAGTGGCATACTCATGGCCATTTCCGAGTATGTGAATTGGGCACCAAGGTCTGTGCAAAGTCTTCGGAATGGCAGATTTCCCTGGGTCGTCAGAGGCGCCAGAGTGGGTGTCTCAGGTCCAAAATAAATGCGACGCTTTTCTGAGGGCAGGAAAGGCGGGTCAGTAAAGTTTGCCCGCTGCTCTTCTTTCTCTTCTTTCTTTTCTTCTTCGACCTTCTCAGTTTCCACCTTCTCTTCTCCCGCCTTCTCTTCTGTCGCCTTTCCTTCTTCTACCTTCTCGGCATCAGCCTTATCAGCATCACTTTTAGCCGCTTCAACATTCTCGGATTCTTTCTGGTGGCGTCCATGCAGGAATTTCTCCAGTTCCTGCCCAGACTTAATAAGCCAGTCATTTACAGCATTCGCGCGGGTTGTAACTTCTCGCTTCCGGGCAAGTGAAATCTTGTCCTCGTAAGAAATAATATTGACGAGGTTATCATCGTTTGCAAATGATATTTTAGGCTTGGCTGCGACCTTGCGCTCCTCATCTTCCAAAAGTATGAGCTCCTTCCTGCCATCCTCGGTCTCGCGCTCCGTAGAGTGCGAGTCAACGAATCGACATTTCCACCCAGCGGTACACCTGCCCATAGCCTCGTAGACGGGACAGAGTCCATTCATGGTTGTAAGGTTCTCACGCTTGTGTTCGCTCAGATAAAGGCGAAGATCGTGTTCATGGCGGCATTTACCCTCGAACTTGCACTCGTTCGGTGAGAACTCAGGGGTGAAAGTTCTGGATGGGCAGAGGTTCTTTTCATCCTTGGAGCTACCGAAGCTACGGTTCGTATTTTGGCCAGTCTTCTTCTTGTTCTTCTTCTTATCCTTCTTGTTTTGCTTCTTGCCGTCGCGATCATCATGGCCAGCTGCTTCGGCGGCATCGTCAAGGTCAATTCCGGGCTCGGTGGGAGGCGTCACGATGGGCTTGGATTCGTTTTTAATGAGGTATCTTGAATTGTCGAGCCGTTAGTCAACGTAAATTTCCAGATGGATGGAGAGCGAAAAGACATACTCGGCTTTAACAGGGGCAGTTCCCTTTGTGTACAGGGGACGTTCCGAGTTGTCGCCATTGGCGCTCGAGGATTCCTCCAGTCGGGCTTTTTTGGATGGAGGCTCTTCAGTGCCGGAGCCAACATCGCCGATGTCGCGAATTGCGATATTCACCTCGGGAGTGGCATTGATAGCCTCTGAAGGCGTTTGGTCTGTCGAAGCCATAATGATAATAGCCCGTATGCAGTAAAATAGGCTTTCAAAAGCCAAAGTAGTAATTCAAGCCAGAACTTGGACGAGGAAAAGAAGCGCCCTGGAGGTCTCCGATCTATCAAAAATTCGATGCCGCGGAGTGGCGGGAGTTTGTGCTGTTTGTAATTATCCAATGTTATGATTGGTTGGGCTCATGTAGTGGGTCTAATATTTCTGCCTTGGATATTGGGCGTTAGGATTGAATGCGACCGAACGAAATTGCCCAGGTGGACTTGGTGTGAAATTATAGAAAACTACTAGTATACGTTGATATAGTACAAAGTTGCTGTTGATAGGGCTCTTGCTATGTAGTCTTGGTCGATTAGACCTGGACGCAGGCTAAAGACTGTAAAATTTTACACCAGTGAATGTAGTATATATAGTAGTAGTAAACAGGTACTGTGCGGGTAGTAGTATGTCTTTTGTTTTAAATCGGAATACGAGATATCTGAACGACTTTCCCCACATCAAAGCCCTTTGCTTGGGAGAAATAATACCCTCGCTGATTGCTGACGACTTTCTTTGATGTTGTATCATCGACGAGTTCAACATTGTAATGTGTGTGACCATAAGCCCACAGGGCTACCCGCGGATTCTTCCAGCATTCTTCCCTCGATAGATCCGTTGCAAAACCAGAAGATAGCGGACTATTAACATGTCTTGGATCAGAAGCACGCTCATCGCCCCCGAGAGGACTATGGTGAGTAAAGATAATTATGGTGCGCTGAGGTTCCTCGGTCGTGATGCGCTCAACCTGGCCATTAAGCCACTTAAGGTCCTCTTCATGAGCAGCAGAGTGATTCTCGACCGTCCAGTCTTTGATATAGTAAAAGTCATTCAAACCAAAACTGACTTTCTCGCTATGCTCCTCGGCAACCTTCGAGAACAATGTACATCCTAAGATTGTGATATCGGATGAAAGATCGTACCGAGTTTGGTCTAGAAAGACAAAGCTGCCGAGCGACTCATCTCTAGAACGCCGATCATCTATTGAAATAGAGAAGTTGTGCACGCACTCCTTTGTCTCTTCCCAGGTATTGTGGTATGGTTCATGGTTGCCTAGGAGAAAAAGGACGATTCTGAACTGTTCGAGTTGCTTCTCGATGAAAGGGAAGAATCCCTCATCAGTGATGACGCCTATGTCGCCTAGAAGCGCCAAGTATGGTGCCTTAGGTAGAATCTCAAATACATCGTAGGCAGCCGGTTTCTCAAGATGGAGATCCGACACAATCTGTAAGTCGGTCATTGGAAGACAAAGGAAAATGTCGAACTCCGCAGGAGAAGATTACCACCTTTCCTATTACAGATTGATGATTCAGCGCGGGCTTAGATCCTATATTACTGTTTTTGTATGTAAAGCACACGTAAGCGTACGTATAGACTATACAACTAGCCTATACGAATTAGGTAAGATCGCTTAACTCGATTGAGTACCTAGATAGAAGAACCCTCTCTAAATAGTATTAAGTTATACTAGTTTATATACGTTCACCCCTATCTAACAGTTATAAGCCCAGGATCGTCGTATAGAATTAGATATTTAGAATAGTTTCTAACTATATACCTCTATACGATTTAGACAGGCTATAGTTAAGCAAATAGGTTAGATTACCCTTAAATTCGCAAAGCAATCGCTATAAACGAAATTTATTAGCTACCTATATACCCTAGTCGAATCGAATCAAACTAAGATAGAAAATATATAGATTGTAATAGCTAGTTTAGATAAAGAGGAGTTTATAATAATTCTAGTTAACTAGAAGCTTTAGTCGGAAGTATACTAGAGAGTCTAGATAGAATATATTAGGTTAGTAGTAAATTTAGAAGGAATATAGGACTATATTAATCCTAATAGACCTAATAATAAGATCTTAGAGATTCCTATAGCTCTATTAGAACTAGAAGTCCCTAAAGATAATTATAGATAACTAAAAGATCTTAAAGATCTATCTAAAGATAAGATCTAAGTATAGGATTTAAAGATAAGGATCTATAAGAGATCCGAATTAAAATATATAAAGCTCTTAAAGATAATAATATATTTAAATAATCTTATTACCTAATTATTAGTTACTAAATATTACTTTCTAATTATAGATAAAGACTTATTAAGAGAGAAACTTTTAAAACTAGCTAAAATATTCTACCTAAAGCCAGAAAGCCACTAATAAGAGCTTTAATAAGTATAGAGAGTAATAATTTAATTATTTAACTAATTAGTTAATATTAATTAGTAGATTACCTAATAGGATTCCTTATTTAAAAAAGAGAAGGTTACGAAGATTTCTAATTATTTACTTAGAGATATATTTACTATTAGAGACTTTCTTAATATTATATAGAATATAGATAATACTTTTTATATAGGTTAGAAATAAGAGCTAAGTAAATACCTAGACAAAGTTAAATTCTATAAAGTAATAGTAGATTATTAATATTACTATACTAACCTATCTATAATATCCTAAAGATTAATATTAAAGATAGTATTTATAATACTAAATAATTAGTTAGAAGCGAAAGCTTTAGAGCTAAAACAATTAGATAAGAAATAGAGATATCTATATAGATTGCTAAGATATTATTTCTTAAAGTACTTCTATTTTAATAAAACTATTTATCTAGAGGGATAGGAACTCTATAAGAATATAGTTAAGAAAGTATAAGAGAATATTAAGAAGATAAGCTAATTAGATTATGATTAAATTAAGAAGATATAATAGAAAAAGAAAGAGGATAATATAAAATCATATACTTAGGAAGAGATAATATTTATAATATCTTATTTCCTAATCAAATAAATAAGCTCTCTATAATTAAGCTAGATTATTAACTCTAGAGCCTTAGTCTATATCTATAATAATTATATAATATTTAAATATTTATTACTATAATCTAGTAAGATCAAAACTAGAGATATATATATAGAAATCCTTAGAATTAGAGAAGTTATAATAATAAGTAATAATCCTTATATAAAACTTCTAGTTTGTCTATATCTTAAAGATATATAGTATATACTAGGATTCTATATAAATATAATCTTATATAACTAAATAGAGTATAGTAGGTTCTATTAGGATCTAAATAAAAGTATAATTATCTAGAAAGATATAAATAAACCAATATTAGTAGTAAAAAGATAGAATAGTTTATATATTATTAATATTATAGACTCTATATTAATATATTTAGTATTCTCTATCTATTACTTAGAGAAACCCTTAATATTAGAAGTATTTATAAAGAGATAATATTAATATCTAGGATATATAACTAAATAGAATCTTTTAAGGATTTAAAAGATAATTAAGGGTATATAAATTACTAAAGAATTAAATAAAGATAAATAAAACTATCTAGAAAAATATAAAGTTTATTAGCTTACTAAGATAAAGTAGTAGATATCCTAACGATTAAATATAAGAAGATTTAGTTGATTTAGATATATTTACTTTAATTTAATCTAAATAGATCTAGGCTATAATAAATACTATTAGATTATCTATTTTTATATAGTAGGAATATACTTATATATTATCTTTATATATAAATAAAAAAGCAGCTGTCAGAATATTATTAGAGAATTTATTATATATATAAGAAATTAGTAGAATCTACTAATTAAGATATTCTATTATAATAATAAATAATCAACTAGCCGTATAGTTAAAGATTTTATAGCTAAATAAGGCTTTATAGTAGAATATAGTATTATTAATACTCTAGAATAGAATTCCTTTATAGAAAGATCTAGAGAGATAATAATTATAGTTAGTAGAAGCTTAATAATAGATTTAGACCTACTAAAAGCTTTTTAACCTAAAGCTGTCTAAGTAATAGTATAGATTCTAAACAGATTACCTATAAAAATACTAGATAGGAAGTAGATTATCCTATATTAGGAAGTACTAATACTAGTATTAAACTCTTTACTAATATTTATTAACCTTATAAACCTAAAAATATATAGTTATTATATATATATAAGAAAATAAGGCATTCTAAACGCTAATAAAATACAAATACATATAGAAATAGGTTATCTTATTAGATATAAAGCCTTAAATATCTAGAAGATTTAGTTTCTATAATAAATAATAGTCTAAGAGGTCTAAGATATGATCTTTAATAAGAATAGATTCTTTAATCTGTAAGATATTATAATTAAATAGATTAGAAATAATATAGAAGTAATATCTTAGATAGATAATAAATTAAAGTTAGATATAGAGAGAGATCTAACTAATAAATAATCTTTAATCGGTTTATATATATAGCTTAAATCTTTAAATCAGTTAACTAGTAATTATAAATAGTAACTAAAAGAAAGGGATTAGTAGCTTTTATTGCTATCCCTAATACTTAACAGAATAATTTAGAATAAATAAGATCCTATTAATTAACTCTAAGATAAGCTTATAGCTATAATTATACTATATATACTAAGAGATATTAATAGAGATATAGATAAGTATAATATTATTATAAGAAGTCATATATAAAAGCTAAAAGAATTTAGCTTTTATACTAATAATAATCATAAAGATAGAACTCTCTCTATCTTTACAATAGGATTAAATAATATCTGTTTATATATAAAAGCCTATAAGAATAAGCTTCTATTCGCCCTAGAGAACTAGTAAGAGATAATAAAACATCCTTACTAAGAAGACTTTCTAAAAGTATTAACACTTAAACTAAAGATATTTAAATAGAAGGAAATATACTAGATTATTTAATAACCAAATAATCAAAGTATCTAGATTCTTTTACTTTATTAGGTATATATATATAAGTTTAATAGCAATAGCTTCTTGATTAAACTAAAAGTAAGAATCTATATATAAGGGGATCTATAGAAGATTATAGCTAAAGAGAAATATTTAGCTATATTAGTAATATAAATAATAAGAGCTGTCTTTACCTTAGTAGTAGTATTTAATCTTAATATTTACTAATTTAATACTATTAATACCTTTCTTAATAATATACTTAATAAAGAAGTAATAATAGAGTTACTAGAAGATTATTAATAATCTAAACAATACTAGAAGCTTATAAAAGTATTATATAGCCTACAAAAGTCCTTATATCTATAGCAAAGAGAAGCTATAAAGATATTAATAAAACTAGGATTTTAGGTAATATAAGAAGATCTCTATCTATTTATAAATAATAGAATTATTATCTTTTTTTATATTAATAATATTATTATTATTAACTATCTTTCCTAAGCTAAATAAGTATAAGAGCTTAGATAATAGCTTATAAATAAATAGGAGTTAAGAGATATTAATAAGACTACCTAGTTCTTTAGGATTTAAATTATCTAAGATTATAACTATAAGACTCTCTAGCTTTGTTAAGATTTGTATATCTTTTTAATAGTTAGCTAATACTATCTTACTTATCTTTAATAAATAGTAATACTATTACTGAATATATCCTTTCAGGAGTTTAACAACAAAACAACATCTAAACAGATCTATAAATATTAATAAAAGGTTAGATTAGCTTTATATACTACTATAATAATATAACTAGATATTACTAAATATACTACTATTCTTATATAGTTCCTAAAGAATCTAGGACCTAAGTATTTAGATACAATTAATAGAGTAATTACTTACCTTTACTATATATAATTATATATAATTACCTACTATCCCCGATAATCTAATAAAATCAAAGTTATTTCCTTCTTTACTAATACCTCCTTTACCGATAATCTAGACTAGAAGAGCTTAAAAAGATATATATATATAATTTTTAGGGGACCAGTTAAATAGAGAGCTAGAAAGTAATATATAGTCATAACTAGTATAATTAAAGCCAAACTCCTTATTATCTCTAAGGGTATAAAGACAATATAGATATAGAAATATCTCTTTATAGCTATTAAATTTGATCCTAATTACCTACTATCGATTAAATATAATAATTAATAGATAGTTAGATTACTTACGAAAGAGCAGCCTTAGCTATATATAAAGTTACAATATATAGATATTTATTACTATTAGCTTCACCAGGAAGTATAGGTAGAAAATATTATTATTCAATAAACAAGAATAAATAAGATAATCACAGACGGCCTCACTAAGCTCCTACCATATCAGAAACACACCAATTTTGTCCGTCAGCTTAGAATTGAGGACATTAAGGACCTACTAGATTAATTAGTCCAACCTAAATAGAAGCGAATAGAGGATACTGTATACGCTAGAGGGGTATATCAAACTCCGTAGGAGAAGATTACTACCTTTCCTATTACAGATTGATGATTCAGCGCGGGCTTAGATCCTATATTACTGTTTTTGTATGTAAAGCGCACGTAAGCGTACATATAGACTATACAACTAGCCTATACGAATCAGGCAAGATCGCTCAACTTGATCGAGCACCTAGATAGAAGAACCCTCTCTGAATAGTATCGAGTTATACTAGTTCATACGCGTTCGCCCCTATCCGACAGAAAAAGGTTGCCACAGCGCTTGAGTACCGAAACAGCCCACTTGAGCTTGCCCCTGGACCAATGAGAGGCTACTGCACCTTGGTAGAGGGACACTGTGGCGATGTGGCGGTGCAAACCGGGGAAATTAAAACGTGGCGGTGCATAGTTGATCCTGATAGTGGCGTTATCTAAGCGCCCAGACCGCGTTGTTCATAAGAGCTACCCCTCCCTAGACTTGGCTGGATCCTGTGATCTTTTTCAATTATATCGATCGAGTTTTTCTGCATATTACATATCCCTGATTCCTCGTGTGAGAAACTCTACTGCCTACCCGGAACAGTCAGTCCAGTGACAGAGTTCCGACGTCATCATTCCCTTATCCGCGTTATCACTATCACTATCACTATCAAGACCTTGATTGCGGGCACAGGCATCTATCTCTTCGCAACCACCAACACCATGTCGGGCACACTACTCTACAGTGTCAACAATATCCAAGCCTTTCACATTCAAGATGGCGAAGAACAAGAGTTGACCCCGTCTGGAGCTCAGACTCTCTCCCTTCTCATGGTCCCAACCTCTACTGTACCTCAACAAGATGCATCTGTGCCACCATACGCTCCAGGTGCGGGCACAGTGACTCCCGAGGAAGATTTCTACCTTCACCTTTGTCTTCCACCAGAGCTGGATCTAGCCTTACCTGCGACTACTCAGATCTTCCACCAACCGCCTAATAGCTATCTCATTCCCCGCTGGGATCTAGCTGAGGGTGCTTTTCTGCGCATTCAGTTCCCTGGAGTTGGATCCGGACCAAATGACGTAACTCAAGATGATATCGATACTTTCGAAACTATTCTCGCGCAATGCACTGCGTTCCATGAACGTGCTGCGTCCGCTCCTCAGAAGTCCGATGGGAAGTCCAAGGGATACGCAGCATACAACCCGGCAGACTATGCGCCGGGCGAGGGATACGTTTCATCTGGAGGTCCTTCAGATATGCATGGTAGAATTGTGCTGGTAGATGAAGAAGACGGTAGCGTCATGGGTGAACTGGGTGATGCCTACGATGTTGTCGAGGATCCAGACGTCAAACCAGGATCTAAAAGTAAGTTATGACAACCCCTTGACCCATGATACACTCTGGACACGTTATACTAACCATTTATTGGTATAGGACCCGTCAACATTGAACTCCCCAGCGAGGGAGAAGGAAACCGCGTCAACGTCAGCAACGTTTCCGAAGAATACCTCGCCATGTCCCGACACCCCGCATACAAAAAGTCAACCATTGTCCAGACATCCGCTACAGCATCTCGTCTGATAGTCGCCACATCGACATCACTCGCGAACGCCCTAACCAGCGGCGCAGAGAGCTTCACCAAGAAAACAAAGCCGAACCAGAAGCCACTTACCTTCTCCGACACCACGCACGCTCGTCTCCGCAAAGTCGGAACCTTCTCCACCGGAGCCGCAGACTTCTCCTCCCGCACGCTAGGTCAAGTAGAGCGAGTCGCCCAGAATCTAGGAGCTTCGCTCGCCCGCAACAATAACAACAACAACACCCCCAAGACCAAAGGATTCGACAAACACAACCCACCACCAGACTACAAGCCCGGTGTTCTGAACAAGTCAATGATCGCCTTTTCCACATTGGCAGATGGTATCCAAGAAGGAGCAAAAAGTATCCTTCTCACGGGTACATCTGCCACCAGCACAATGATCGGACATAAGTACGGTGCCGAAGCCGGAGATGTAGCCCACAATTTAACTGGCGGCGTTAAAAATGTCGGGCTAGTGTATATCGATGCTACAGGTGTTAGTCGCCGTGCGCTTCTCAAGTCCGTCGCTAAGGGCATGGTTGTTGGACGAATGCGTGATGGGAAGCAGGTTGTTGTTGGTGGCGGGGATGGAGGCGAGATGGATCCTAATGCAAATGCAACTGCAAATGCGGGAACATCTGGATCTAGTTCGCGAGAGCAAGGAAATCCTACACCGCCACCTGCATATGGTGCTCAGGGGACGACTTCGCTGGGTGGCACGCCTATGACGATGTCTGGGGGTAAGCGGTGATAAGTGATAGAATCATCATATCATATCAAGATATCACGAAAACTAGGCGCTTTCTTGCAGGCAATTTTTGAATTGGTGAATTACGAGTGGCTTTTCATTATTTCTTTTCTTATCGAGCAGGCATTTTATCTTGATTCGATTCTGTAGATATTCAAGTTCCATTGAGCAATCCAGTCACATCCAGAATCCATAATCCTTCTCCACCAAAACAAGAATCAATAAGCCCTATCCAATGGAGGTATCAATTCTGCTCCACTCCACTATGCTATGTAGACGCCATCAACCAAAAAAACGCATAGTACACATGCAGCCGCCCGATCCCCTCAATTAGCCAAATCAAGAATTCGCCGACAATAGAATTCAATCCCGTTGCTCTAAAAGTCAAAGTCAAAGCCAAAGCCATTATACATTCATCCAGCCCAAGAAGTATAATCGTGACCGTGCGTCACAGATCCAGGAAGGGGGGAAGCAATGGGGTGTCGATTGGCTGAGAGAGGCGGGTGAGGTGCCAACGCATCAATTTGACAGTTGGCTCACTGATAGCCAATGAGGCTTATCAAGGGTTAACACACCGCCACTCAATATCATGATATAGTGAGAATTGAGCAAGAAGTTCAAGTTATTCAAGTTGCAATATATCATACTGTCCATAAAGTAACCGCTTAACATGTAGAAAAGTGGTGTGTCCCTTTGCACCACTAGAACAGACAGATTGAAGCAGGGAGACGGATACTGATACAAACCTCGATACTAGCCGTATGATAGATGTTGCGCTGCCGTGCCGTTGGTGTAAAAAAAGTGGATATAAGTGGATCCGAATAAAACTCCAGTAGCGCGCGGACCTCCATCCAGGGACGGATAGACTCCGTACTCCGTACTTACAGACTCGAGCACGAATGTCATCATATCATTAAATTACCCGTCCAATAATTAGTTAGCACTACACTTATTAATAATCTATCCACAGACCCAGGTTAACGAGGTTGTATTAGATATCCATGATACAGAGATCTGGTACAAACCATGGGACCGGGAATGAACCATTGGGTGCTGTGGGGGGTTTCCAGGGATCGAGACGGGTGTACGATCCAGCGAACTTGAAAAGGGGAAATCGAATCGCACAGCATGTATCTAAATGCATGGACCACCGTACAAAACGTTAGAGGGGCTGGAGATCGAGATCCCGAGGTAAATACATACAGGATGACAAGGTTGTTTATTTCGGTCTTAGTTGGTTCATGATCTTCGCCAGGGGTCTGTCTGCTGGAGAGAAAGAAGAAAGGAAAAGAAAGTTTAATATATGAGCTCAAACCTTGGAAGCTTGGGTTGTATGAACTTGAAGTCGAGCTTCGTCGGAGATGATGGCGGCAGCAGCTTGTCAATCGGGCTGGAACGGGCTGCATATCATAATGTTGACGATCTTGTATCGGGAAGCGCTTGATTTTATTTTTCTTAGGTCTGTGGTGGTGTGGTTCTGTTGTGGTGCTGGTAGTCCTGGTGCTGGTGGCTAATGAGGATCGTCGCAGCTAGGCTGGGAACCCACTTTTCCACAATGCGAAACAACCGGTTGTCAGCTTTTGTGCCCCTTTTTGTTATTGGCGCGGTGATGATTTCTGATGATGATCTGAAACGGCGGTCTTCATCCCACTAACTAATAATAACCAGACCAGTCAGTTACTTAGTGGACTATACTATACCCTACATTTGGGCATACAGTAGAACTGCATGTGGTATTCTTTGATTATGCCCCTTTCTCTGCATTTCTTCATATTTCTTTGATATTTCTGTTTGACTATTCCAAATTGAGAATATGAACATAACATTAACCTGATTCCTGACTCCATCCAGAGCACGGCCCACGATCAGCCCTCGGGCCTCACTCCCGTTTCGTTCTATCACAGGCCAGCAGCAAGGGAGGGTTACGCGATTATAGCTTGTGGCTATTCAATAATGGTATACATACAGCAGATGGAGTCTTTCATCAGACTAGTTCAATGTTATGTATATTATTTGTGTATTTCCACGGTTCAGTCGAGGAATAGTGCTGATGCATCCGGGATCGGGCCAAAACGAGGATTGAGATGATATCGATGATATACTAGACAGATGACGAGATACTAGTTATAGAGTAATTAGAATATACTGATGGAGATATTCACTGTATTATATATAATTTTTCATAATTTTTCAGTAATGTAACTGTCTATTGTCTGCAATATATGCTTGCTTCTTCCATGTTAAGCTGACTCTGACTCCGATTCTGACTAGAGTAGACGAGTAGACCCGCCTTCCCCCAGACTAACGGACTAACCAAGTTCAGAGCAGACTTAGACTTGAACTTGCCCGTCTCCTCCTCTCCCTCCCTCTTCTCCCCTTCAGCTGGATTTACAGTGGGCTGGTTTCTTTCTTTTCTTTGATTCTTTCTTTTCTATTTTGTTTTGTTCGAGACGGATTTCCCCAGGTTTTATCAAAGGACAACCCTCGACTCTTCCAATCTTCATCTCCCCCTATCCATCTCTCTCTCGGACCTCGCGCCCCCTGTTTACCTCTACCCGCCCCTCAATCAACTTCAAATCATGTTCAGTTGGCACCATTGAAGAGCCTTGTCTTGCTACTTCATTCTCCCCTGAGACATTGCGCCTGTGATTGCCCCCTGGACAAAATAAACGTGCATCTCGTCCCCGTGGGTAAAGAGGGGACTTCGAAGTACTGCAGTGCAGGTATATTCCACCTTTCTCTTTCTCTTTCTCCTTTTGTCTCATCTGCATTTTATGGTTGTGATTATTATTCTTGTCCGAATTTGTACCTGGTCGCATTCAACGGAGCTCCCCTTTCCAACCGGGGGGTGCTTCGTGTAATAGTGCGTGTTGTGTGCTTTGTTGGGCGCGATCATATCATTACCCGTGGACCGTGACATTCCATTCCTCCCTTTTCCCCCTCCACAATTCCCCCCATTCCTCCGATCGAATCTGCTGTCAGTTCGGCCCTATCCAGGATAGAGTTGCACATTTTTCTTGATTGCCGATAACGAATTGCATGTGGAGAATTCTCATTTACTGACGCGCATGTTCCACGTTTCCAGTTGTGAGGCTGAAGGTCGACACTCAGTGAGTGCGACCGATCGCCCAACCCCCTGATTCTTAACCAATCACCCTCGGGAGGGCTTGGTGACTTGGGCGCATCGATTGTCGTCCATCGATTTCCATCTCAATTTCAGAGCTCACAATTGAGCTTGGGGGGAAATTGGTAATCCGCTGAACAGTCGCGAATAGCTTGTGATTGTACTCGAAAGGTACGTCAGGTCCCAAAGTCGTGCAGAAACCCCCGAGTCCCCCCCCTCGCAAACCAGCCTCCCCCTCTCTTCCACCCCCCTGCCACCAAAGGAAGTCTACGGAGTCTTCGGCTCGACCCAATTTGCTGATCGCGTTTCACAGTCCCCTCTCTGAGGCTGGTCTGGGATCAGCTTCTATCGGCTATGAGCACCTCACATCAGCCGGCTCTGCCAGTATCCGCCCATGCGCCCGTTTCGACCCACACGGCTCCATCTACTGTCCCGAAGAATGCACGCCAGTACCCCGACATGCTAGGCTCACCTCCAGTCCCTCCGCCGAGGACTTCTTCCAACAAACACAGCAGCCGCAGTCCAAACGGTTCCTCGAGAGAAAAGGAGGGAAGCTCGCGCGGGAAAAGCCGATCCGATCGGAAAGAAAATCGCGACAGGCCGCGCGAAGACCGGAATGGAAAATCTCGATCACGACGAGCAGATCCCATGGCAGAGACACCAAGAGAAGACGAACATTCACAAGCGGCTTTGTCCGGCATGGCTCCAACGGATTGGAATGAGGAGGATCCTTCTGGACAAGGTCTGGTGAAAGAGCCCAGTGCAGTAATTAACTCTGTCATGGTCAGCGATCCTGTCGTCGACCGGGAAAGAGAGCAGGTGCGTCAAGCTGGCGCATCACCTGCAGCAGCTGCAGGTGACACAGCCCTTCCTGTTGGGAACGACAGCGCCGAAGACGGAGGACACAGTGGACAACAAAAACAACAACAACAACAACAACAACGCAGTCGCCATGATTACCACAATGGAAACACCGTTAAACGAAAGGAAACCACATTCGGAACATACATTCTGGGTCAAACACTCGGCGAGGGCGAGTTCGGTAAGGTCAAGTTAGGATGGAAGCGAGACGGCAGCATCCAGGTCGCGATCAAACTCATTCGACGAGACTCCTTGGGGGGCAACCCTACACGCTTACCAAAGATCTATCGCGAGATTGCAATTTTGCGAGAACTAGCTCACCCTAACATTGTCCGTCTTCACGAGATGGTCGAAACCGACCGCCACATCGGTATCATCATGGAGTACGCATCAGGTGGTGAACTTTTCGACCATATCCTCACAAACCGCTACCTCAAAGATAATTCTGCACGCCGATTATTTGCACAGCTGGTTTCAGGCGTTGGCTATTTACACAAAAAGGGAATTTTGCATCGTGACCTGAAATTAGAGAACTTGTTACTGGATCGAAACCGCAACATCATCATTACCGATTTTGGTTTTGCCAATACCTTCAATCCAATTGATCAACTGGAGGAGGAGATTGAATATAATCTGACCAACAAAGAATATGTGAAGAGGAAGCGGCTCGACAGGACTGGTCCCGACGGCATGCGTCGTGGTGATTTGATGCAGACTAGCTGTGGAAGTCCGTGTTATGCAGCACCCGAATTGGTTGTTAGCGATTCCCTTTATACAGGACGAAAAGTAGATGTATGGAGTTGTGGTGTAATTCTGGTATGTTTGAAACTGGCATTGAGCCGAGTCACGCAGTTTGTCTTTGTTATTAAGGTGTTGATCTAACCTCGAATTTCCCTTTAGTACGCTATGTTGGCCGGTTACCTTCCATTCGACGATGACCCCGCAAACCCCGATGGCGATAATATCAACCTCCTCTACAAATACATTGTTACAACACCTCTTACCTTCCCTGAATATGTGACCCCCCACGCTCGCGATCTATTGAGACGAATCCTAGTACCCGACCCTCGCAAACGAGCTGATCTCTTCGAAGTGGCTCGCCACAGTTGGCTCAGCGAATATTCCCACATTGTATCGCATATTACTAGCAGCACAACCAATGTCGCAGATATCGCCAACTCTACTGTCCCGACTGAAACTCCAAATGAAGCCCCAACTCTGGCTCGAAGTGCCTCTGTTCGGGAGCCACCGAAGACTTCCCAGGGCAATGTTCCCGCTGTTGGTGGTCTGAGCCATCATGCTGGAGATATATCCCAGGGCTCACCGAGTGAGAAATCAAAGACTTCTCGCGATGCTAAGCGTCGAACCGTGCAAGTTGAATATGTCGCCCCTCAATCGCAGACCACACGCGGTGAATTCCAATCAGAACCCTCCTCTGGCTCACATGCTAGAGCTGCGCCGGTTCAAAACGAGCTGCCCATTGCAGATAAGCCTCCTAAGCCACCAGCCAAGGAGCCTATTGAGAAGCCGCCTATCAATTATGATAAGCCATTGCCTACTCATTTCCCGAGGTCTACTTCGGATTATGTTGCAGCTACTGGAACGCATTCATCAATACCCGCCCCAACAGCTCCCGTCTCGGCACGCCCTCAAACCGGCGGATCAATGGCATCTTTCACCACTGGCCGACTACCCTCTCGTGGGCAGCCGGTGGCGCCCACGGTTACTGCAACCAATACTGAAGGTCGCTTAGCTCAACCGAAGAGTAGACAGTTCGCATTCCCTCAGAACCCCGCACAGTCATCGAGCACTTCAATTGGCCGTCCCAGCACTCAACAATTGCCATCCGCATTCAACCCAACACCACGCCAGGAGCCTCCAGTCAAGGGGCACAAACGCTCCAGCACTGTCTCCAGCATTGGCGAGAAGCTTTTTGGACGCACTGCCTCTATCATGGGTGGCCGTAATTCGCAAAGTGCTGTATCTCGGGGTGCACGACAAAGCAAACGCGGCCCTCCTCCAAGCAGTATGAAGGAGCCCTTCCCTCGCGAAGATTCTCGTGTATCAATGGATTCGCGGCGGTCAATGCAGTACTCACACAACCGGAAAGCAAGCGAAGCTGGAGAAGGCCGACCTCGTCGATTCTCTCTCCTTCCACCTTCGTTTTCCTTGCGAACCTTTTCAAGTGGTCGAGCTCAGACACCTGACGAGGCATCGCAAGCCCCACGTCCGGTGGACCCTCGCACTCAACAACGCCCAGCTACTGGACCAATGCCCAACCGCTCTCGTGCGACCAGCTATGGTACACAAGATGCTATGGGTATGGTAAATGAGGGACCTAGTGATGAGGTTCACGAGAGCTCAAAACCCACCGACCCAGAGCAACTCAGTTACGAAGCTCATATTGATCAGCAATTCGCCGAGCTCGGATCTCGATTTGATCAGACACAAGACTCATTTGCCAACTTTTCCTCTGAGCACGTCTACCAACAACAACCAGATGAACATTATTCTGGCAACAACTACACCTACGCGTCAAAGCCCAACTACTATGACGACTACAACAGCACGTACGATAGTATTCCCCGGCAATCAATGCAAGCCGGTCGACCTGGGCGTGGACCAAGTGTCCTTCAGAAAAACAACCGCAAGTTTGCTGATGCCTACGAGTATGAGCGGGATTTATCCCATCATTCAGGCAGTTCCGGTGCAGCTCGAAAGGTCATGGACTTTTTCCGTCGTCGCGCCAAGTCCCGTGCTGGTGATGGCCAATAATGAATGGCCCTTGTAGCTTGCCTCGATTCTCAGTGCCTTCTTCCCCTCCTCTTCAAAAGAAGCAGCGAGGTTGTTTGGGAAACCATGTGATACCCTGCTTTTGTTTCCCCCTCTTGCGTGCATGAAGCGAAATTCCTCTTCATCCAGTGGGTGTTTGATTAATTATCTAGCATGTTCATTTCCTTTGTCAGAATACATTTTTTTTTCTTCTCTTTTCCTTTTCCCCCTCTTTTCCCTTAATGTCCTTTGTCGTTTTCTTCTCCCTTTTCTTTTTCTTTTCTTTTCCTTACCTTGTTGTCTTCTATTTCCCGTGATTCACCTTTCCTTCTCCTGTTATTATTATACTCTGACTGTAAAGTGGGACCTACGTTCGTGTTCAGAGTAATCATCCTTTATCTGTTCTGTTTCAGCACTATCATCGCATACCTGATCTTTGATTCGATTCTGATTCTGATCCTATCTCCATTTGTGCCTTCCCTTACTTCTAATCTTCTGTTCTATGCGGGAGGTCGTCTTGGACGGTAATTGAATTGTGATAACAGTCCACTGTCTCTGCCTGGTATTTCTTTTATCTCTCCATCTCTTTTATAGTGGTATTTCCTATTTCCTATATCCTATCTTTTATCTTTTATATTCTGGCTACGAGTCGAGTCGAGTTGAGTCGAGTTGTCAAGGATGATTTGACTACTTTTGGGTCGGGTAGTCTTAGTATTTTTTGACCGTGACCTGGACACTTGATTGCAGTGATGGTGTATATTTTGGGAATGTAAATTAGGTATCTTTCTGACGCTTAGTGGTCGTATGAGTATGGCTAGGTGTAGATATTATAATACAGTTAATATCCAGAGAGTTATTAAAACATCATTTACATAGCATAATGACCTCGCGATCTGGAATTCAAAATATTATAGCTTATTCGAGTCCATAAGACCCGGAGCTCCGTGGATTTATCTATATATGCCACTATACTATCTCTTCAACAACCACCTATTAAGATTTTTTAAATTCCAAGTTTGTGAATAACTCAAATGCTCAACAGTAACCAGCCAGCCCCCTAGAAGATTCAATCCCAGAGGGCTTCAGAGCCGAAGGTATAATACAGTTGGTCAATAGAACGTAGCCCCGAAGCAATTCTTTACTCAGTGGTTGTCATGATAGCACGTTTAGCAATATTATACTGGCAATGAAGATGCTATTGGCTACTAGGCCTTGGATTTTCTTTGTTTTCTCATTCTCGATACTGTGATCCTTCTGTGGATGCATGACAAACAGGGCTCGCTGTAATCCGGTTTGTACGCCATAGTGTACCACTCAAAATGATCGAGTTGCGCTTCCACGACTAAATAAAAGGCTGAAAGAATACAGGCGGCAGGCCGTTAATGGCCTCAATATCTGGCATTCTTTTCTAACCTGGGAATCAATTGTATCGCGTTCCGGAAATTGATCTTATCTCTCAATTCGGGACTCATTTCATAACCCTCCAAATCCTCTAAGAATGCCGGATAGGCGGTAACCGGGGCATAGGGAAAGTCACTCTGGTCATTCGCATTAGTAATTGCACTCAAGAAAATACTATCCAAGCTGAATACTCACCCCATAAAGAATATGATCATGCGGTATCATTTTCAGCGCCAAACCCAGCACGGATGGCGTTGACGACAGCGCCAAGTCAAAGTGGAAGCTGCGGAAGTCATCCATAACTTGCGAATAGGTCGTGCCCATGCGGTGCGAGACCGCAAAGTCTGGAGCCTTGCGCATCGGTGTTGCCACCCGCGTCACTAGGTATGGAAGGGCACCACCTGCATGTGATAGAATGACCTTGCAGTTTGGGTATTTACGACGCGTACCCTGTATGATCATATCCATGGCAGCTCGGGTTGTCTCATGCGGGTAGTCGATAGCAGGCTGTGGGAGCAGTGGGTTCACCGGGGTCGTGTCCGCGGGGTGTGTAGGATGTACGAAAATAACACATTTGCGGCGATTAAGCTCGGCCCAGACCGGTTCCAGTGAAGCATGTCCGAGATACACATTACCAGGGCCGTAGCGAGTGAAAACTGTAATGCCATCTGCATGCAGTGTGTCTAAAGAATACGCAATTTCGGCAAGTGCAGCTTTCGTATCGAGGAGACTCGGAAGCGAGGCGAAAAAGCCAAAGGCTCTAGGCTCTTTGTCACGCAGTTCCGCGCCGTATTCGTTTAGTTTCCGCGCCATGTCAACCGATTCTTGACCTTGCAGGATACAGGCTCCCGGGGCTGTGACAGAGAGAATAGAGGTTTGCACGCCGAGACGTTTCATAAGCAGCTTTGACCTCAAGGGCGTCCACGATGGGGTTGGCCAGCCGCTTGGGTCCCCTACATCACATCAGCCGAGTCACTCCGAATGGTAGGGGTATTCACCTCCTGCTTTTTCAACTGCTATAGGCCCAATCTGTTAGCACGTGCGCAATCATGACTTTATATCCGAGAGACTACCTTTACTATAAAATGATGGGACATAATGATGATGTGTGTCGATCTTGTTGGTTGGAGGTGCAGATATCCAACCCAACACCTTATCCTGAAGCCAGTCAGCCGCCTCGTCAGCCATATCGTGAATGTTGGCTTTTTGAAACTGCCAGATGATTGATAAAGCTAAAATTGTGAAAAGGAGGCCCAGCATAATGAAACTGTGGGTCAACGGTCCCGTCGAATATTTCCCCGGTTTTATATATACGTTTCCGGGATGGTTCCGATGTCGTGAAAGCTCACGTCACTGTATCACAACTGATCCTGATAAATCGAAACACCCGGAATGGACCCGAATTTGAATGGTTATTTTAAGCAATATATTTACCAACGTAGATCTCATGAAAATGCATTGGCTTAATTGAAATCCGATCAACGTCTTTACTGCCATGGCTTTCTCAGTTCACTCTGAACTCGGCTACTACGCCGCCGTTCACCCGGTCGCCGCCACCTTGGTTGCAATCGCCTTATGCCTGGGAACAACGTTCCTGCCAATCCAGGAGATATTCACGCCGGCTGGCAAGCGTCGTGCACCAGCATGAAAGACATGGCGCCTCCCCCCAGGCCCGAAAGGGATTCCTATATTTGGAAGTCTCTTGGACTTAGAGTCCGCGCGAAATGATCCGGACTACAAGATGGTGGGTGCTATGTCTCATTTTGTTTCTGAAAGTTCTAGCTGATTGATATAGCATCGTGAACTCGCTGGCTATGGTGAAATGACCACCGTCCACCTCGGATCTAAGACCTGGATTTTTCTCAACAACAAGCGGGTTGTGGCGGAAATTATCGCAAAAAGAGGTTCATTTACAAACGGTCGGTCGCCTATGCCTGTTGCCAGCGGCATTGTCAGCCGCCGCGGCCGTTCATTGCTTCTTCCGCCTTCCGGGTGGACCGAAAAGCGCCGTGTCATGCATTCTCTGCTTAGTGATACGGCACTCAAGCAATACGCTGGCTGGCAGGAGCTTGAGAGCACCCAGCTTCTTGCCGAGTACCTACATAACCCAAAATTATGGTATAGAAACCACTATCGGTACGCAAATTCGGTGGTACATCGGATTGCACTTGGTGAACGGCTGGCCAAGACAGGCAAGGAGTTAGCCGAGTTGCAAGATGTGGTGACGTGCTTTGTTGGGAGTATCGGGTCAAGCCTTGTGGACTGGTTTCCAGAGCTGGATTCGCTGCCAAAGTTCCTACATGTATGGCGCAAGCACTGGGAGAAAGTTGGCAATTGGAACTACGAGGTATATCGGTCATGGTGGGATCCAGTACGCAGGCAGATCGACGCAGGAATCGCACCACCATCATTTGTTCGTGACGTTCTCCTAGAAAAGAACACCAAGTTCACTGGTGACGACCAAGAAACCATGTATGTCGCAATGCAGTTGATCGAGGCCGGCAGTGATACTACCCACGAGGCCTTGAATATCTTCGTTATGTCAGCTCTATGCCGTCCAGATGTTTATCAGAAGGCGCGCGAGGAAGTCGACAAGATATGCGCACCTGTTAGCGATACCCTTCGGCTACCAGGTATCATGGATCTAGAACAGATGCCGTACATCTGTGCCCTTATCAAGGAGGTTCTCCGATGGAGGCCAATTTTCCCCTTCACGCCGGACCATGTGTTGACAACAGACATGGAATTTGAAGGCTAACATTTCCAGCCTGGTGTGGGCTTCGTCATAAACGGCATTCTGGTATGTAATGACTGCGAGGACCCGGATACCTTCAAACCAGAGAGGTGGCTCAATGGTAATGAGACGGACGTAGCGCATGATCTCTGGCAGTTTGGAGGTGGACGCCGCATTTGTTATGGATACCGGCTAGCCCAGAGAGGGCTTTCCATCAACATTGCCCGACTGGTGATGTGCTATGCTTATTCGACGGTACGTTTGGGTTGTGCTTCATGGTTTATAGACTAAGTTTTAACGAAACTAGACTGGTCCTTACAATTCCCGCCACCTCAATCACCATAGCACTGACGAGCCCTTCCCGGTCAAAGTGACAATTAGGAGCGAAGAACATGAAAAGCTAATTACCGAGGAGGCAACACGCGCGGGTGTTCTAGAGGCGGCAGTCGGATCGAACGAAGTATGAGATTGATATTTACGAACATTTAATATTCTTTTGTCATAAGAATGTGTCCCCTTGGAAATTTGCAGAGTAAAAGTTCACTTTGTGATGAACCGAGCCATCTGTACCGGTATTGACTTTTTATCAAAAAGCCCATGGGTAGCCCACTGCAAGACTTGTTTTCTCTGAAGTACTCTGTCACCTGTACCATATTTTCCCTCTATAGAAAATAGACCAATAGAACCATGTTGTCCTGAAGGTAGCCGAAAAGACCTGATAGAAGAGGAAGAGAAAAGAGAAGCAAGTCTATCTACATGGCCTATCCTGAAAGCCTCGGGTAACATTCAGACACCCTGACAAGCAGGTATATGGTGGCCGGGATTATGAAACCGAGAAACCGAGATAGTATTAAACCTGTGATGTACATTTGATAACGTTTGTAGCTAACCCAGGCATCTACCTATCGCGTCGGAAACAATTCTGCTGCTGTTTTACCTCGGAACGCAGCCGAAGTAGTTGAAAACAGACTCTGTCGTCATATTTTTGCTGGGGTAAGGATTGAAATTAACGTATGTCAAACTCACTCTATTTCCAAACCCGGTCCATCAATATGTAGCTTTGTTCTCTACTTGCCGCTGCAAACACATTGCGTGTTCTTCGTCTCCTCCCTCCGAGCATAAGCCGCCGATATTGAGTTCTCGTCATCGATATTGGACTTTTATCCACGCCACAGCTCAGCAGGTGCAGAACCAAAGTGGAGCATTTGTCGGGTTCATCCCTATAGCCGGTCCAGATTCATGATCGTCTTTCACCCCTGAAAGAACCCGGATCATGTCCGACAACTGTTCACAACCGTACCCCAGGAATGCACAAGGCATGTTAAGAGCAAATATAGTCATGTATACCGTGCCAGTTGAAACCTCGGTACAACCTTTTCCTTTTCTATAATGGTCTTGTGGTTCAAATATTGAAACCAATAACCCGCGCATCCCAGAAATCACCTCGAATACAGTTTTGTCATCTGACACGACAGTATCCCAACTCTTTTCTTTTGCCCATGATGACGCATAATTCTGACCCGGTTCAGGCTTCATATAGCCAGATTGCTTATATCGGCACTGGCCTAAGTGCGATTGCCCTTGGGGCGACACTCAAGCGATGGTATGATATGGATGATGTGCATTTCTTTGAGCGGCATAGAGACTGCGGAGAGACTTGGCATATCAGTTCATACCCTGCTGAATATAAATTCTGTTCCCGTATGTGCGGCATTTTTAGGGCTTACCACCATCCAAGGATGTGGCTGCGATGTTCCGAATGCGCTCTACATCTTCTCATTCGCTTTGAGCTCTCGATGGACCAAGCTCATGCCTTCGAACAAAGAGATCAAATCTTACCATGACAACGTGGTGCACCAATACGGCCTTCGCGATAAAATGACCTTTTCCACCGAGGTCCAAGAATCTGTTTGGCGTGAAGACGCCTCCCGGTGGTTCATGAAGTTACGCAATGTGATAACAGGTGAAGTGACTTACCACGAAGCTCAGATACTTTTTGCAGCCACTGAGCAACTTGTGGAGCCTAAGGCTTGTGATATTCCTGGAGCTCAGTCATTCAACGGCTCCCTATTCAACTCCGCAAAATGGGATCATAGTGTGAATTTGGAGGGCAAGAATGTGGTTGTCATTGGGAATGTATGTGAGTGCCCGCCCTACCTCTGGTGGAAACCGGGAATACTGACAAGTTAGGCACTGCTGCCCAGATCGTGCCAGCCATCGTGGAACGTACCAAGAGCTTGACCCAGATCGTCCGGAGCAAGCACTGGGTGTTTCCAGCTCCTAAATCTACGTACCCAAGAGTTTTGCAGTGGGTTTTCACCTATGTCCCGCTAGCTATGCGCCTCCACCGTTTTCACATCTTTTTAATCGCCGAAAAGGACTTCCGACTATTTCCAATGACTAAGTCTGCAGCTAGACTTCGTGAAAAGCACCGACAGAAGGTCGAGAAGTATATGCGAGAAACTGCTCCAACCAAATACCACGACACTCTTATTCCAGACTTTGATGTGGGATGCAAGCGGCGAATTTTTGATGGCGGGTACCTCAAATCACTTCACAACGATAAGCTAAATCTCACCCAAAAGAAAATCACCGAAATCCTACCGGATGGTATCAATACAACGAATGGATTCTATCCTGCTGACGTAATTGTGCTGGCGACCGGATTCCTCACGAACACATTTCTGCCATATACTCAGATTCGGGGCTCGGAGGGTACTGTCACAGAACATTGGGATCGGTATGATGGCCCAGGAGCCTACAACTGCTCGGCGATGAGTGGATTCCCAAATTTCTTCCTGTCACTCGGACCAAATGCCGCAACAGGGCATACATCTGCATTGATGGCGGCTGAAAAGTAAGTCACGATGGCAATGAGCAAACTGGGTCCTCCCAGGATAATTAATTCGATTAGCTCTGTGAACTACGCTCTTCGGGTTCTTAGACCCGTCTTGAATGGCGAGGCTGCTTCGATAAACCTGAAGCAGGAAGCCGAAGATAGTTATATCTACCGAGTTCAAGAAACTCCTCGAAACCGTGTTTGGAATGCAGGATGTGCTTCGGTACGAAAGATATCCACACCAAAAAAATACCGTTTGTTGCTAACAAGTTACAGTGGTACCTGAATGAGAAAAAGTGGAATGCAATGGCATACCCTTGGACGCAGGCACATTTCTGGTGGCGCAGCTTATTCCCCACTTGGTCGGATTGGACATCAAAAGTAAGTCCAGATGACTATCTATTCCCCAGATCTTTGCTGACTTGATCAGTTGATTCAAAAGCCTGGTAGTCGAAGAGTAGGCCTGAAATTTGCGATGGTGTGGATTCTGGCGGTTGGCGTTGCTATTACTACTCATTCTCAGAGCCCACTGTTCTGGTCAACCGCTTGGGGTAGATTGCTTCAAGTAATTGGTTTAAGTGTTTAGAGCCACTCTAATATTCTATGGGAGCTAAACACTACAAATATATTGGCTGTGTCATAATTGTTGTTGCTTGCTTTGCACCGGTTCATGAGATCCATATTTGGTTGAATAACTGTGCCCTATTAACTTTAACTAACACCCATAATCCATTCCATTAAAAAAAAAGAAAAAAAAAAAAAATAAACAATGTATACATTTGATAGATTTAATAAGGGACTGGAAGTCGTCATGAGCAACTATACTAGGGAGTCTATCAATTGCCCTGAATTGCTGACACTTGGAAAACCCTTGGATTTGTTAGAGATCACCTGGCCTTTGTATGGGTCAGCGTTTGGTGTGAGAAGCTTATCTCCTCACTTGCTCCTGTTTCCTTGCTTGCAGCTCGGTATGGAACGTAGCTGCCGTTTTCTTCTCATCTTTCCAGCTTTAAGACGCTGTCAGAATTCAGCCAAAGCGCATGTCTGGGATCCATATTAACCAAAATCACAATGCCCATTCATAAATACCTAGTACTGCGTGACTGACACTTTGACTGAAGAACGCTCATGCATTTACAATTCAAACCATGATCGCAGAGGCAAAGCTCATACCGTGATTTCTATCTCGCTCTCCATTAAATGACTGATAAGATCCGCTCTGGAACCCCTGAGGACATATCCCGGTTTATACGGGCGATTCAAAAGTTCCCCGAGAGATAAAGAGGCAATCGATTACCTTGTTGGGCACTGGTGGGATAGTGATCTGCTTGACTCCTTGACGGCATAGAGGCTCACAGTCCTGAGCATCATCTTGCAGCTAGGGATAAAAAATAGAGATCTTGAATATATAAAGTCCCCGACAATAAAGTGAAAGGGTTTTGACGCTTGGCTAATTGATGCTTAAAATGATACGAAAACTACCACCACAAGGACCAATAGATACCATTTCATGCAGCGTAAGTGATCTCACGGTACCTACATTATCGTCAATCAAGGCACGTTCCCTCGAACAAAATCTCCCAATATTATCGATGTGTGACCAGAATTTCTCTGTATTTCAAATCAAATCTCCTTTGCGATGTAATAAATATCTATATTAAGAGCCCCAGTTGATTCTTTGTGAACAGAGCCCTTTCTCATCATGTCTGCAGATAATGCATTCAAGCGTTAGCTAGATGCGTGTTTCCTCGGGGGCCGCCCCAAAATTGGAGAAAATTATAAGATCCCGGCTCATTTTATTGATATTAATAATTTTATCAGGTAGGGAACCGTTCTTAAAGTGAACTTCACATATACTTCCGAGGTCATATTGCTGGCACTAGCTCCCTTATTCTGGTGTAAATCTGAGACCTAATGAGATGGTAATATGGGTAGTTACGAATTGCATTTTTCTATGTAGAGTAGAGTGCCTATTCATGCTCAAACTACTCACCTGGTAACTTATTTGGGCCCAGTCAATGAGCTCCTAAGCCAGGAATATGCTGGACGAACAGCTGTAAACATTGCTGCATTTATTTCAGGCACTCAAACGCGCGACAGCTTTGCAACAACCATACACAACTGAGCTTTGCCATTATCCACGTCGATACAAAACACGAGCGGACGAAGCCGAAGTGCTCGTCACAACTACTACCCGTGGAGTCAAAACATTCTCTTCGCCATATCTCTCCACCATCCATATCTAGCAACCACTGAGCGGGAATTCGTTTGACATACAACATTGGATATGCTTACCTGCTCTGCGGTCCATCCAGAGTCGACGCTACGGACGAAGTCATGAATGAAAGCTTTCTCGACGGTCCCCTTTGCATCTTCATCTTGCTGTTTGATGGGAATCGCCTTAGATAAAAAAGACTCCTTGTATGATCCAGCGCCCTTAATCTGAATTTCCAGGAGCGGCTGTAATCGTCCATCCGAGTTTCTTTTGCCGGCGATATAACGGCCACGAATGCAGACGCGGCCGAAGAGTGTGTCATTTTGCTCGAACATAGTCCAGTCCAGTGGACGATACTCTGTTACTCCTTTCAATCCACCCTTCAAGGCAGGCTCAAGAGTCAAGAAAGTAGTATTGTCTGCATCAGAGTCCTGAGTGATCTTCAGGGTGCTTGTCGAGATCGAAATGGCTCTGCTAGCTACCCAACCAATTCCTTGCTGGTCGCTATTTAGATTTGACAGGCTTCAGATATCGGAACTCCAGAAGGATCTACTATTTTGAGAACTTCATCCAGACCGGTTGAGCAGGTCTTATCCTATTCTGCGTTTGTGTAATCAGCGGGATGAGATTTAGGTTAGAATCCGGGATCGCATAGCATGCGAGGTAAATCTACCATGATCCAGTTGCCGCTTAGATTGTGTGAATTTACCTCGTCCGGGGAAGTCATATTCCGACAATTGCGATTCTCTGGGAGGTCAACGAACAAAGACTAAACGCGGAAATTAAAGAGTCCCGTTCGACCGGCAATGCAGCAGAGATGCACTCGTAGAGGGGGATGCCGAGACGATCTTATATCATATATTTCCTGATACTGTCTACTTGTGCAGGTAAATATCAGCACTTCGGAACTTTCCAGACGCCAGTGCGAGGGGATCCTTGGCTCCTTGTGCGAGCAACCTGCCAGTCGGGTACCTCCCGGCTTGAACCCGGAACAGTTCCGAAACCGCATTACTCAAGAAGTGAGAAAGAAAATTACAAATCACATTCACTTTTTGTCAGACCCTTGTCTTGAGCACGACCACTTACTTATTTGTTCGCGCTTGTTTATAAAGTAAACAGCACAGGAAATTTCTGTACCTCTTAAAGTGGCTCTTCAAATCCTTAGAAACAGCGTGCAAGGTGGATATGGCGGAAAGTCAAATCGCGCTGTTCCGTGATCATCCATTTATTCGACTTTTTGTTGCTTCGGAATGCTGGGAGCCTTTTTTGGAAAGAGATAAGTGCTTGCCCTGTTCTGTGCGAACAGGGTGTGCTCATGGGTGGACCGATTTTGCTATTGTACATAGAGGCATGCCGGTCACTCAGCTCGCCATGCGGGATGGTATACAAGAGTAAGATGACACATCAAGCAGCTCATATTTGCTCATTTTTGTGTTTGGTATTTTGTTGTGAGAATCTGGAGTCACCGACCTTAGTTACCAGGAAGTATGGTAATGTTGAAATGCAGATCTGTCTACCCTATGTGCACACTCTACATTGCAAGCTTCAAAACCACGTGGAATCCTTGATTGTCAATGAGGCCTTATACTATAGACACCTAAAAAACCATACTGACGTTGACTGCGCACAAAAAGTTTCAGTCTAGCTTTTTTTGGCAGCTGTCCTTTGGAGAAGAACTTAGAGAAAGTTCTTCGACGAAAGGCCGCCTGTCATAGTAAAGTAAGAGCTGATGACACTGCGTTTCATTGCACAGGCGAGCCCAGCGCAATTCAAATCATCGATCTCATGATACAGATATATTGGACAGCTATCAAGAAGCAGCTTGTGCTGTGGTCAGGTCCATTCTCCCTGAGTAAAAAGCCCAAGCTGAAGATCAACTTACGTAGACAATCGTCTCCCGCGACCGCTGCTCAAAAAGGGAAGAAAAGAAGAGAGGTTTTTATCGCAAAATGAATACTCTAGAAGATAATACAAAGAGTGTGAACACTAATTGGAAAAACAAAAAATAAACAAAAAATGGAGCAGTGGCGACTCGAACGCCAGACCTCTCGCAATTCAGTTGCAAAGCGAGCGCTACTACCAACTGAGCTACAGCCCCAATCGATATTGAATTATGTAATACCCGCCATTAACGTAATTCCCGGTCGGGCTGTACACCCGGCCGAGCTGTACACCCCAACCCATTAGAAAAATTTAAATCGATATATATTGGCCAACATATATTAATTTAGCTAAATAACGCGATTTATACATCGATTGATCTTATGGCCAATATTCCCACATCCACTACACCGAGGCGGAGCCCTTTTGGCTGGCTGACCTGGCTGAATAGGCGTTTTGCCCTGTGTATTCGAATCCACCGGAGTAGCTTCATCTAGTAAATTTAGCTGCGTAGCTAGTTGTAGGCCCTCTTCGACCGTTAGGCCAGTATCACAGGGTATCTGCCTATTTGATCGATTGCGTTTTTGGCGTTTTTTCTCATTGGCTGTACGTAAATTTGCGTTTTCCTGTGCGAGTAACGCTGTGTTGTGTAGCGATATATAGTGACCTTTGATAATTTGATCTAACATAGTCTTCGATGGGCTTGGTGGGCTATTTGACCGTTGTTTTAATAGATCTTTCATCATAGAAGCTTGTTTTTGTAGTTGAATGACAGTTCTCGGCGTTTTTGGTGTAAATTGGCTAGATCTGCTGCTTGGTCGGCTTCCTGGGGGTGTTGGTGTTCGTAGAGAGATATTAAGCTTCGAAAGCACTCTTTCTGGATCAATAGGCACTAGGCCAGCAGCTATAAAGCTATTTTGAATAATAATTGGCTTTTTGAACACTTCCAGTCTTGCGCGTTGGTAGTCATCCAGAAAATCAAACTTATCAATGTGGTTATAGCCTACACGCGCAAGATCACTTATAAAGCGACCGTATGCGCGTTTAAGCACTGCGAAACATCCAACATCAAGCGGTTGTAATAAATGCGAAGAATGCGCAGGCATACAAAGTGGTATAATATTGTTTTCTGCGCAGATTTGGTCAAATTTAGCCGTAAGATGGCTACCATGGCCATCAAGAATCAATAGCCGAAACCGGCCATGTACGCGCGAATTTGTACATGGGATGAATAGTTTCTGTAGCCAACGTAGGCCAATTTCATCGGTAGTCCAGCCATTATTTGAGACCTCAAATCGCCAGTCTTTTGGTAGATTATCAAACCAACCAGCCATAGCAACTTGGCCTTTAAAAACTATACATGGCGGTAGCGAATAGCCATCTGCACAAATAGTTTCAATAGCAGTAACCCATTCGCGGTTTCCTGGTTGTAATATAGCTCTCCGACCGTAGTATCCAGCCCGCGTAACCACTTTCTGTGTTGAAATAAGACCCATTGCAAACCCTGTCTCATCGAAGTTGTAGATATCCTCCATTTGGATACCGTTATCGTCAATAGCACGTTGTACGGTCGCAAACCACTCTCGTAGCGATTTAGGATCTTCGTTTAATGCGCGTTGATAGTCGTAACGCCTAGAGAAGCGTGATCGAATCTCTTCGCGTCGATTTATGAAGCTTGATGGCCAATTTTTACCAACTGTTGGTGGAGGGTAGCTACCACGCGCAGCTAGTAGTATATTAGCCATCTCTCGTACAGTAGCTGGCCTAGGCGCTGCTCCACGCGTATCCATAGAGATTATCCATTCAACAAGTGAATCCTCTTCTAATTGTGTCAGTTTATGGCCATTTGGACGTATATCGACGCGTGATTGTACACCATTGACGCGCGTAGCCAGCGTTGTATGGGGGATATCGTATAGCTTTGCTGCTGCGCGGAGAGAGTTGATACGGCCATCTTTGATATCTTTAACGGCTAATAAGATCCTACCCTCTTTTCCGGCAGAATTTCGAGACGATTGGGCGCGAATTGGTGGCATAGTGGCTGGTTAAAGTTGGTATATTGGTAGGAAGATGTGATTTTTGATGGGGTGTACAGCTCGGCCGGGTGTACAGCCCGACCGGGAATTACGTTAAGTAGCGTAACTGGTAAGCGAATTGCCATTGAGCAAGCTGCCACCAGGAAAACCCATGAATTTCAAAATGCTTTATTTCATCTGAAACGCCAATACAAATACAAAGAAACTATTCAGTAGGTTTTTTACACTGGTTTCTTTTATCTCCTACTCCAAAGCAGTTAGTGTAGCGCGGGGGGGCTACGGGGTAGCATGCGTCGTTTCTGAGGGTCCTGCTAGCGCTCGTTCTGCTACTTTATGTGGAAGTTGAATGTTGATTCAAATGTTCCTGCGGGGAAGTCGGAGTCGCCGAGTCAGAGCCCATGATGCCTTTGCCCCAGTGTACTACACAGGGGTAATTTCTTGTTTCAACAGGCAATAGCTCGTTTTTTTATATCTTTCGTCGATTTGTAGTCGAAACTGACAAGGCGATGGAGGGCCATATCTCCATTTTTTTCTGGTTGAAGGGGATCTGCTCCATTTTCCAGAAGAAATTCAATGAACTCAATACGTCCGCCACGCAACGCATAGTGAAGAGCCGTCTCGTTGTTGTTGTGAGTCTGGTGTACAAGGCCTGGGCTAGTAGCCACAGTACCCTGGAGAGCCTCTCTGAAGAGGCGTGCATGGTTCAAGTTTCTGGAGTGATCGTTGACGACGTGATGCAGGATCGTTCTTCCCTTGTTGTCTTGGGCCATGACATTGGCGCCACGTTTGATCATTTCTGACAAGGGGTCTATGGTGTTCACCTTTTGATTTGTGTTTCCGATGAAGTTGCCTTGCCTGTGAGCTTTGGATGCGGCTAGGATCAGCGTGCAGCCATTTTCGTCTCGGCGCTCAAGGTCTAAGGGCGGCAGATTGAAAATTGGATCAACAATGTGGCCACCACTTAGAAGTTCGTGCATTAAGGTCGCGGATGTGGCTGGGAAGACCTTGGGCTCCTTCTCGCTGCTCCAATTCCTGACCTGGTATTTTTGTTGCTGAAAGGTAGAATATGGATCCGCTCCATGTTTCAAAAGAACTTCCATCAGTTGCTTCCTCATATTAATGTTTTCCTTGAAGTTCTCGCATGCAGCTGTGAATAACAATGGCAAGGCTCCGACCCCGACAGTTGTGAAACTTCCCAATGGATTAGTGCGGGAGCTTTCGTTTGGAAGCGGTTGATTCACTATTGAGCTTCCACTCTGAGAAAGAAGAGTCTCCAGTAAATCTACCTTCTTAAGTTTCAGAGTAGAGAGAAAAGCGGTTGGGCTAATTTCGGCACCATGTGTAAGCAAGAGTTTGGTCATATCCATATTGTCCCCCACGATTGAAAGACAAGTGTTGCTCTCAGTGTCAACAGCATTAACATACGCTCCAGCTCTTATGAGAATTTCGGAAGCTTCTTTAGAAAATGGGTGATGAGATTTGAGCGCAGCGATGAGAGGTGTCTGGCCTTCTCTATTGCGAATATTGATATCCGCACCCATTCGGATTAAATATGGAAGAGCTTCGTTCACGTGCCACCAGAATCTCCCAATAGAAAGGTCATGCAAAACTCCATCGCAAATTGTCGGGCGATATCTTCGATCGCGATAGATACGCTGCGTCCGCTTCGCATTGACGTTGACCCCAAAGTCTTCAACGATTAATTTCAGAACGTCCATGTTTGGAAGTTGTCGTTCACATGCAGAGATCACTAGTGGTATACGGCATTTTAGGTCATCTTCGTTTGGATTCGTGGTCCAGCCAAAACCATCAAGCTGTGCTGCTGTCTCTTTAGTACACACGGAGTCAAGGATGTCCACGAATCCACATCGAGCAAGCATATTCAGCGAAGTATGTCCGTTATAATCAGGGACATGAAGGCTTTCCCTTCCCCCTGATAGATTCTCAAACAGATCGTAGTATCTCAAAGCTAGAGCCTTTTCAGCCGAGCGATGTCGTAGAGACGTAGCATGATGCGGGCCTCCCTTTTGTTCTTTGCCTTCTTCCGCTTTCGCGTTTGTCTCCAGTGTCTCTTTGAGTGCTTTCCGGTAGTTCTTTGCAATCAGCATTTTCAACTTCTTATCGGGATATTGCATCTCATGGCGCGACCCAATATAGATCACACGGGGTTTGGGAGGCCGATCTGGCAAGGGTGGAAGACAAGAGTATGTCCATATTCGGGCTGTGCCGCATATCTCCACGCATACTTCAGAGATTCTTCGCCGCTCTCCAGATCAACCCCATGCTTGACAAGCAAGTTAATGATCTGGGTCAATCGTGTTGTATCATGCTCTGATTTAATCATTCCAAAAGGAGGCGCCGTGTCATCGTCAGCTCGGTCGAAAAATGGACGCGTATCATCCTTCAGTGTTAGACCTGTTGCATTGAGACCAATTTCTGATAGCTGCCGACGTGGGTTTGATGATGGCATATGGCGATCCCAAAGCAAGGCTTCCTTTTCACACTCCCCACACATTGTCAGTGGAGAGTGTTTGTGGATGTCAAGAACATCAAGGGCTGCTCCAGCCTCAAGTAGGGATTTGACAGTTTCGGGACGGCCGGACCGGCATGCATAATGAAGTGCAGTTCGTCCGTCTTCATCTTGCGTGTTAACAAAGTTAAAGCAAGTTTCCGCGGAAAGAGAGTTGGCTCGGGAGAGTATCATATCGATGATTCCGGACTGACGTGCACGCGTGGCAAGATGAAGGACTGTCATCTTATCATTTGTGGCTGCGCCAATGTCCGCTCCAACGTTGAAAAGTTTGTAAACAAATGTCTCGGAAATTGTAGCCGCGATATGCAGCGGTTGGATGCCCTCGTGATCCCTAACCGTTGGAAATTTGCTCTGTTCGAGGATATAGTCAAAGACTTGGTCACATGATTCTCTACCTGTTTCCACGGGCAAGTATCTTGAACAAACAAGGTGTAAGACGGTTTGACCTCGGTGATTGCGTTGGTTCATGCCCATACCCATTCCCACCAATTGTTTCAATACTTCTCGCCTTCCATTCAATGACTTATCAGTCACGACTTCATGAAGCGGTGTGTTACCATTGTGATCTGAGACTAGAGGATCAAGTCCTAGGCTTTTGAGAAGCGAGAGTCTTTCTGTACAGTCAAGCGCGCAATGCCACAACGTACGGCCTTTGTAGTCACGGGTGTCCAGGCGTGCTCCCGCCCCAGCTAAGTGGCCTAGAATTTTTGATTTACCATGCATACGTTTGCCCAACTGTGTAAAAAGAACCGATTGGCCCATGTTGTTGCATACTTCAAGATCTCCTCCAGCTTGAAGAATAATTTTGATTATTTCCTGGCTGAGACTATCCCTGGCTTGATGCAACGGTGTGTTTCCCGCTGCGTTCTTAGAATTCGGATTGGCGCCTGCAGCCAGCCACTAATTAATAACCCCAGGTTGGATAGCCCAACGCCGCAAGGCCAGGTGGAGTGGTCCGTCTCCTTTCAAATCCGTAAGATTCACATCGGGCTTGTAAGCTAAGGACTTGATAATTTCTGTATCATCAGTCTTATTCTCTGCAAGGCGACAGAGTAATGGCGTCATTCCATCCTTTTCTCTGGCTTTATTAATATCCACCTTTTCATTCTTTAAGACCAGAGACACCGCTTCGCTCTCGAAAGATGATAAAAGATGGAGGACTGTATCTCCGTCGTCATCTTCCATGGTAGGATCCGCTCCTGCATCTAGCAAAGGCTTCATCCATCCGATCGATGACTGGAACGCGTAATGTAAGGCTGTGAAGCCTTTGGAGTCCTTGGCATGAACGTCAGCACCAGCCTGTAGAAGAGCCTTTACACACTCGGTGGCTTCACTGCGCGCTTTCTCTCCGTAGACAGAGTTTTTACACAGAGCATGAAGTGCTGTATATCCTCTATCGTTGGAAAAAGCTGTTTGATTTTGTAGGTTGGCCGTGGAAGGGTCAGAGCTGAGAATAAATCCTCTATATGCTTTAACAGTTTCGTAGACCACGGTTGAATCAGCACCAGCCTTGATCAATACTTGGATTGTACTGAGATCGGCGCTCTTGCAAGCCAGCAGCAGCGCAGTGTCGCCTTGCACCTTGGCGTTGACATCGATTCCAGGTTGTCGTATTATCAACTCCACAATGCTCGATCTTCCCTTCTCAGCCGCCCAATGCAGTGCTCGGTACATGTCTTCCGGGTTGTTCAAGCATGGAAGAAACTCCACAACGCTCCAGATGACCTGCATGACACGCATACATCAAGGGGGTATGGCCTAAGGTACTGGGCCCAACACTCCCAACGCAACACCCACCTGCAACTCGAATAGGTGTGTCGCTTTTTGTCTTGGGTGTCAATGGACTGACTCCAGCAGCAATCAAGGACTTGACGGCATCCACATGGTTTGACTTTGCGGCTAAATGCATTGGCTTTAGTCCCTCACTCAGTTCAGCATCCGGGTCAGCTCCATAATTCACGAGCACTCGAATAACATTTCCATGATTGTATGATGCTGCCCAGCTTATGGGCAAAATAGAAGACTCTGTGCTAATGAAACACACTTGGACAAAGCATGCTCAGCAAATCGAGTTAGACCAGTCTGGGCAGCGACGTGAATGGGTGTAATGTGGTCCGAATTTAAGCCCGGCTAAACCAAAACAACCAAGCTTTGTAGCGGTGTTTCTCTGTAAAGAGGGAATCAAGCGTGTCATGGAAGAATTCCATATCTTCATCCAATGCCTCTGCCAGGTGGACATGCTTGTACCAGTTGTTTGCGGCGTATTCTAAGAAAGGGAATTGTAATCGTACTTCTTGTATTTTCTCTTTCTTTGGATCACGGACTCCGAGTGGGGATAAAGTCTTTTTGAAATTTGGTTCTGTAAGTTCTAGGCTGTCCAAACATCCTGCCCGCATATAATGCAGACATTCGATAGCAAGGTTCAGATTTGTGGGACCGGCCTCAAATATTGGATACCCCGAGTCTTCCGGCGCTCTGGATCTGGTGTATCCCTTTAAAAATTCCGTAAGCGTATGATGAATGACTGAGACTGTCTCATCGGGTAACACTTCCAGGAGAGGTCCGCATGCAGTTCTGACCAAGGTTTTGGTTTCTTTAAAGGTCTGATTGTGTTCGGAGTGTGTGTTCAGCATCTCAGCAAGCTCGAGAAGTCGTAGTGGGCGTGTGGCGTGGGTGACAAACTGAAGGATAAGGATTTGGAGCTCGGAGGGCACATTCGATCGCCGCGCATGCTCTAGCAGAAGCTCATTATACATAACGTTGAGATCCATTGGCAGTGCCTTGAGAGTCTCTTGCACGCCCACTCCAGGCTCGAGAAAGGTATCCAAAGACATCTTCGCGTAAAGAAATATACCATTTGCGCGACCGGGAATCGCTTCTTGGATCGCACTCCAATGTTCTTCCGCGACACCCGAGCCACGCAGCCTATGCTGAACATATGATTCGATATCAAGATCCACTAAACTTTCTTCGAGTCGAAGTTGTAGGATTGAAAACGGCCTCAGCAATGTCTCCACGCGGGCTATTGGGCGCGAGGTCATTAAAACCTTGACATTATTTGGACGCCATTTCCCAAACTCAACCAAGCTGTTCAGGAAGCCTTCATTTCCGAGATCCATCTCATCCAAAGCATCTATTACACAATACACCTTAGGTAAATCGGCCAATGCCATTATGAGATCACTCCACAAATCGTCCGGGGACAGATCATCAAGCGATCGCCTTTTTGTAACGTACCTGTGAAGTTGGGCTTGTAGTGAAGAGCTGCAGTCCAGAACTTGGCATAGCCAGTCTCGCAGCGCGGCAATGGGCTTGTGGTTAGCTTCGATGATCTGTCGGAAGAAGAAGTAAATCACTGGACGATTCTCCTCCTGCAATTGCTTGATTATAGAAGCAGCCATCACTGATTTGCCTGAGCCTGGTATGCCTTTGATTAATAGCAATCCACTTTTACCAGAGTGCCACTGCTGATACACTTGGGTTGATGTGAGCCAATTGCCGGTCCCAAGTAAATGCGAGGCGCTATGCCTGCAGTATTCGCCTCTTTCGAAGTCATATGGAGTTGGCTGAAGCCATTTAATGATTTTGGCAACCTCAATCGCCGATAGTGGGAGTGTATTGTCATGATTAAAATCTTGAATGTCCCGTGCCTCAAGCAGAACAATATCGCTGTCAGAGTCTGATACAGAAATGGTTGTGTGAGCTTCCATATCTTGGAATTTCGAAGGAGAGAGAAGGATGGTCATTAAATGAGAGACACTAGGAGGGTCCGGGTGACGGATGTAAGCGCTAAGACGTGGCCCGTCCCCGCACTCATACAGTCTCATGGGGCCATAGCCCTATTTCTGTGAGTCGCTGATAATGACTGGTGAAATATGCAGGGTATGTTTTGGTTCTGCTTTCCAATTGGAATCAATATCATTCTGGGTCAAAACTATCGCTTAAGCGATCGTAGATGGTGAGTCATGTATACTAACATGTTTCTGCCATTTCTTTGACACGTCATGAGTCAAGACCAGATTATCTGTCAAGCTATCCATACACACTCCCTTTCTCATTCTTGACTGTACGAGTTTGCTGAAAATGTGGTGTATTTATGTGATGCTAAATGCTTCTGAATAGACCTTGTGATGGACCCGAGGCGAGGTGCGGGTCAAGGCAACATTTTGCCGTAAATTGGTGTTGTAGACACCTAAATATCACTCAGAGTGTCATAAGTGGTGATTTAGTAATTCATCGTCAATATTCCATATGTAGCTAAGAAATAACCTTTGGGTTGGTACCAAGTGAGAACCTTTGAACTGTTCGCCACCAAAACCTTAAATACCTCATTTCGACCGATAATGTAGGCCTTCATGCGTAACTTGAAACGCGTAAGCACGTGGTGCTTCCAAAGTCCCTCACCCATTTGTGTAGAAGCCAACTGGTCAGTCGGGCTGTGGGGCACTCTCGCGGAATACTTCCGGGCTTTCGGTGGCTCCGGTGTCGTCCACTTATAAATCACATCATCTATGCAAGTTGTCCGCCCCTCACTTTACTCTATATTTAAAGTTCTTACTTCCTCCTAGCCCCTCCATTTATTGATCATCTAAATTCAGAAGCTTCGCAAAAAATTACGCAAAATGGTTCTGAAATTACACGGATTCCCTCTCTCCACCTGCAGTAATCGGGTGCGCATCGTACTCGAGGAGAAGGGGGTAGAAGTTGAGTTCATCCCAGTTGATCTGGCGAAGGGAGAGCAGAAATCTGAAGCATACATCAACGAACTGCATCCGTTTGGAAAAGTTCCCGTTTTCCAGGACACAGATGCCGATTTGCAGATCTTTGGTAAGTTGCACCACTACCTAATTACGGATTAATCTAGTTCGGATGTTGTTAACCATATCCCTGAATTCAGAAAGCAGAGCCATTGCTCAATACATTGCTATCAAATTCGCTGCCCAGGGAACCGACTTGTCACCCTCTGTTGCGGACTTGAAGGCGTATGCCAAATATCAACAGGTATGAAGAGCTAGTATTGCCCATATGGTTGCCGACTGTAGTATTCTGATTCAGGACCGAAAATGGAATAGGCTCTTTCTGTTGAGCAGTCTTACTTCGACCCAATCGTTTCGCAAATTGCCTTTGAGAAGGTCTTCAAGGTGCGAAAAGGCCTTGGCGCCACCGATGAGGCTCGCGTACAAGCTCTCCTGGCACAACTTGATATCACGCTGGAGGGTTACGAACGTATCCTTTCAAAGCAGCCTTATCTCGCTGGAGAAAAAGTGACGCTCGCTGATCTCTACCACCTGCCCTATGGAGTCATGGTCGAAGGCTTGGGTGCCGCAGAATTGTTTGCCAAATACCCAGCGACCAAGAAGTGGTGGGAAGGCTTGAAGGCGAGAGAATCCTGGAAGAAGATCACTTCTCATTGAGCAAAGGTAGCGAGGCGTTCAATGTTCAATTGTTCGTTTCCATGATGAATCTCCGTTTTAGGTTTGGTGAAATGCTTTCTCATGGATATATAAAAGATCATGCGCACCGGAGGTTCTCCAGTGCCCAGTGCGCGGTTGACATGAGCTAAAACAGTATTTTGGTCATAGACTTCCAATGTTTGCTTAATCTTAATGTTGAGATCTTTTACAAGGCTTTAGCACACCGGTGATAAAATCCCTGGAAACAATTTGAATGATTGCCAAGTATAATCAACATTATCTTCATAGTAGATTCACTTTGAAAACTCCATACATGCCGGGGACCATAGCGTGTCAGTGGGATGGTGCATCCAAATTCATTGCCCGGAGTCTTTTAGCCCCCGATGATCCAAAGGCCACCATCAAGTTGCAGCCGTTTGTAGTACGTAGAGTCAAAAACACGAGAAGCAAATTGAAGGTAAACTGAGTCTTGCTGCATTCGGAGCTCGCGTGGCTACCCAACTGTTTGCCAAAGTCGCGAAAAAGACACATTTGACACGACTTACTGTCCAAGTTTTTTGTTTCTGAAAATTAAATGAGAGCAAATAAATCATCGAGTTTGGCATTGTTTCATTTAACCTGCTAAATCGCTCTTTCTGTGACATTTAGCGATCTGACAAAATCTGTTATTCGCGGGGTGGAATTTTTGAGAAGCCAGGTAGGTGTAAGGACTCAGGAGGGTACTCCGCCCACCCCCTTTAACCCCTGGAGCTCAAGGCCCCGATAGCCTCGGGTTAAATGATACCGAAAATTTTGATGTAAACCGGGGTAATGAAGCTCATTCTATCGAAAAATTTCATTTTCGCGGAGAATATATTCCAATTCGTGCGAAATCTATCTTCCCCGCATCATTTGCCTTGGACCGCGGGGGCAATGACAGTAGATCTTAACCGTAATTTGATCGCTTATTCTTATAGCCAGTACAGTGAATATTAATATGAGTCGTATTAAATGTCATGATTTCTCTCATCAACCACATGAATAATTAGTTGAGTCTGTTGTTCTATCTAACGTTTTATACACGAAAGGCTACCCATCATGCGTTCACCCGCTTCAACTCTTGTTGCTATAGGAGCGTGTTTGCTGGATTTAACTAACGCCACTGGCAATGGCCAGAGAAAGACTTGTGTCGTTCAAGGTGGAGGAACTAATGCGACAGATGATGCCCCACAAATATTGCATGCCTTCAAAACGTGTGGACAGCATGGCACCGTCATTTTTGAACCTAAGGACTACTACGTCAACTCGGTTATGAACGTTTCCTGGCTTAAAGATGTTGATATTGATATTCATGGGAGACTCGTGGTATGTGCTTGCGTGACGGTATTATTTTCTGTGACCCTATACTGGCATCCCGCGGACCTCGGCTTGCATTGCTGAAACTTGATCCCTCGCAGTGGAGCACAGACATTGTGTACTGGTTGAACAACTCGATGGACGTTGGATATCAGAACCAGTCTACAGCTTTCATCATTGGAGGTGATGACGTTCGTATCAACGCCTTTGACGTGGGAACCTTTGACGGCAACGGCGATTACTGGTACCAATGGATCAGAGAGCAGCCAAATACCTCCAATTATCCAGGCCGTCCACATGCTGTGACATTCAGCCATCTGACAAACTCTGTTATTCGAGGGCTGAGATTTTTGAGAAGCCAGATGTGGTATGTTCAACCTCAGGTTCATGTATATGTGATGTCTAGTTCTCGGAACTAAAATTATCGTGAAGGACCATGTCAATAATCTACTCTCAAGATGTGCTACTCGACAGCATTTTTGTCAATAACACAGGGAACATTGCTCAAAGCTGTCAGTGTGCTGAAAATGTTTTCTATTGAGAAGATAGTACTGATTAAAGTTCTGCTTAGCGAACACCGATGGTGCCGACACTATTCGATCATCTCATATCACTTTCAATAATTGGACTGTCTACAACGGCGACGACAGTATCGCGCTCAAAGCAAATAGTACTGATATAAAAATCACAAATAGCAAGTTCTTTAATGGACTAGGCATTGCCATTGGCAGCATCGGGCAGTATAAGGATCAATTCGAAACGGTCGAGAGAGTAACGGTCGATAACATCAACTACGACAACACACTACATGCTGTAAGTGGCTCGTACAGACAAATTAGATAGGGAAATGATTGACATAATACATCTAGTTCTACGTGAAAACATGGACAGCCGATCAAAATGGATACCCACCTAACGGAGGAGGTGGAGGACTGGGATGTATGTTGTATTATTTCCTTAATTGAGAGGCTGCTAACATTTTTGTAGATCTATCCGATGTGAAGGTCCGGAATCTGAATGCAACTGGACTTCGAGGGGCCGCCTTTTCGATATCACAATGCACGCGTTTCTCCGGTGCACCAGGTGTGGGTAACTGCACGAACTCTGAATTCCAGATTAAGAATGTGGAGATCGACCGGCTTTTTGGCACCAGTGAATCGACACAAGTGACCAGTCTACAGTGCAGTGCAGTTGCACCGTGCACTAACATTACTGTTCTTGAAGCAAACCTGCAACTCGACAATGGAACCCAAGCCGAGCAGTATCTTTGTGGAAATGTTGTCAATCCAATCGGCTTTGAATGCACCGGGGCTGCCTGTGTAGGCTCGAGCGCAACCGGGGGTTGTTAGTGGTCGATCACTACTATTGTTGCATTCCCTCTTACAGTAATTTCCGTGAAGGTACGAAGAATGCTTCAATTTACATCATATATCTAGGCCGCAGATTTGATTGGGAATTGATTCAAACAACTTAATCAAGTTTTCTTGGGCTATATGTATAAGCTGCCAATTGTTGCTCACATCATTGTTGAAACAGCAACCAGGATACAGAAATGATGCAATTGCGGGTTCAGGCAGAAAGTCTCGGCCTTATTTTGTTCAGATAGTTATGGATGTGATTGTAAACAGTATGACGTCAATCGCAGATTCTAACTCTATTTAACAATAGTCACTAACTTTAGAATGTGCTGGGTTGTATGACTAAGAAAGCCTCGTAAGTTATCCTAGTGAGATTATTGACTTTCATCTTCAAGCCATATCAAACTGCGGATGCTATAAGGGCCTTCTTCATCTAAGAAAACTCCAGTACGAGACTCGCTCTGCCTAGCCACATTATGGCCCAGAAGAACATCATTGGGATTGTTCCTAGCCAGAAACTACAGCGACATATTTCAAGCAACGGCAGTCAATTTCAGATTTGTTTGAAAGAGGACGAGCCGCGAGCTTAGGAAGGTCATGCGCTTGGGCAGAGGTATGCGGCCCCGATATCTTGCATGGGTGATAATGAATAATGCTTGGTCCGTTGGAGGAAAACTGGCACAGATCTTTGAGATGTGTTCTTTCCCTCAGGCCACGAGGCGCAAACCAATCTGAAAATCAATCTTGGTTGCTGATGACTCGAAATATCTGGTATGAGCTGGCAGACTCCAATTCCCTCGGCCCTATGGGACCTTTTGCTGATGCAAAAGTGGCCATCGCCCGGCAAGGATTGGCGTAATCTAAAAGTATAGTCTGACTTCGATTGTTCCGGGCGCGCGCATGCCTTCACCTTGGGTGCTATTATCCGAAGGAAGAGGCTCAGAAATCTCCGCCGACATGGCCTGATCATTGGAAATTTGCTGGACAACATCGTCATCAATTCGTACCTTCAGCCCATTTTCCTTGACTTGGTACAATTCCACTTCAAGATCGGCGCTGAAATTTCGCTTTTGCGAAATGATCATCTTCAAGCATTGCGCAGTACGTTCCTGTAAGAATAAAGCGGTATGGAAATCATCGGATTTGTCCCCATTTTGAAAGCGAATATACAAACACGTCGCTGGTTACATGGTGAGAAATAGCTTAATTATTTAGGGCGGGGGAACTCACGTTTATCTCCGGATCCCGACTCGCCGCCTTCGGCTTCATTCTTTTTAGGAACTAAGCGTTCTGTAGAGGCGCTTGTACTCATATATGCGTTCTGAAAGGAGATATTGTCACCCGTGGGACTTGTATCCTTAATTGAAGAGCTGCTACGCGCGGCAGCCTTCCCGGTGGATTTAGGTGTACGTTGATTCGTTGGACTCTGCGATAGATTGCTGGTTCTTGACTCGCTGTCTAATGTGGAAGGTGGTGTCAAATTATTGAGAACCGGCTGTGGCATGGAGCGAGGGATTTGCGTTTCCTCATCTGATAGTTGAATTGGGAACAGATCGGGATCATCCTGCACGTCGCCGGGCAGACAGAATTCGCTGATTGGTAAATTGGATGAAAATGCCCTATGCATGTCTGCCAACTCCGCATCTAGGTCGTTTTGTAGGTTTGCCGCTCGTTCAGCTCCATCTTGATTATTTTCGACGATTCGGCTGCCGCGTTTTCGCTTGCCAAGATTTTCACCTGCTCCACTAAGAGCTTTGATATACTCTTCCTTGCGTTTCTCAATGGCTCGTTTAAGTTGAGAAACGTCCGTGAACATTTTGCGTTCCGCACCGTGGTCGCGAAATACTTTAACTTTGCAGTAGCTGAGCTCAGGAATGTCTGGAGTGATAGTTTCTGTCTTGGCCAAAAGTCTGAGAGGAGACCCCTTGACTCCCTTGGAATAGCTGAAATCTGTCGAAAGAAAGTTGAATCGAATTCCGAGCGTGCAAGCTGGTATTCCTGATGCATCCGTAAACCATTTAATAGAAAACCCATCTAGCGACGTTTTTTCCACATGGAAATTGTTTGTTTGACCTTGATTCTGACCTAGATTGGCTAGTTCCACTGCATTCATCACTCGACTTTTGCGCGACATATCTTGTGCCGAACTTGCCTTCCAGAGGCTCCAGCAGGAGTTGGGGTTTGATGTATGTTCTGTCGTGTCGAAGGTTATGCGAATTGAGGTTCGGTAATGTGTTAATCCGTTTTGCGTTGAAGGGGGCTTAGAATCGATAATAGTCAAAGGATATGTTTGACCCTTGTTTAAGTAAGTTATGGGGATGTCGTTTGAACCTTGGATCATCGCGGTCGGTGTGGTGAGTGAGACTTTGTACCGAAAACTGGAAACTGGTGAGTGGGGGCTTTTCAGCTTGAAATGTTAAAACATAAGAGCGTACTTGGTGTTGTGGCTGAATGTCAGTTTCTCAACATCTGGAATATTTTCCCCATCCACAAGTCCAGACATGATCTGTCCATTGAGAGCCAGGTTTCCAACAGGTATCTCCCCATTGGTTCCGTTGTATAATCCCTGCTCCGCATCAGGCTGAGCGAAAGTGTTGGGTTGTTTTGCGGATGTTGCATCCTCACAAAAGTAATTATGTACTTCTGGCGCGAGACTTTGTAGATCGAATGGATCAGAAGCCTTTGCGACCTTATTTCTATGCAAAGGAGTGACTGCATCTGTATAGTGATTCAGGAGCGTTTCAGGCGTCAACAGGTTGGACTGCAAGGTGGGGGTATGTAAATCGCCAGCGAACCCATGAAGTCCTGTATTGAAGGTTCCGAAACTTTTGTTCCAGCGTCTGTCCGCAGTGGAATTTGGAAGAGACTGGTCGTCGAGGAAAGGAGTGAAGCGAAGTTCTGGCGTTAGCTGGGTGGCATTATTGCGCTGCAAGTCTTTGGGGTTAACAGATCTGGACCACCACGCCAGTATATTAGCATATAACCTTAACCAAAGCTCTACATCCACAACTTATATGAAGTGGTCAAAGCCGAGGGCATGGACGGAACAAAGAATGTACACACCGATCGAGCACTGATTCGGAGGTAGTTTTCATGATACCAGAGAAATTCGCCTGGAATCTATTGATTAACCCCTTATCCGGTTTCCGGTCATTGTTTCTGGGCACAGGCAGCACAGTTAGAATACTTGGTCACTCATTACCAGTGTATTTATGTACCTATTCTTGAACATGATGCGATTTCACAAACGCTGGAGACCATGTATAGTGCACTGAAGATGGTTGTGGGTATGGTGCGAAAAATTCAAGCGTAGGGACTTTTAGTCGAGAGTGTCAATGAGGGGCACGCACGGTTCCGACGGTTACGCCGGTATTGGCGGTATGAAGCAATGGCATAGGTCGGGCGGGTATGCCGCAATTGGGCCAGATACAGCAGATGGATATGGTTTTCGAAATTGCGACAGGGGCGGATCCCAACTAGTGGAGCCCAAAACACTCCAAGTGGTATTGATCAGCCTACATGCTCGCCTTCCATAGGCCCGCGTTGTGAAGCCAGTGCTCCATTGCATCTTTCACCACGACCATTGGTTCTCATGAGTTGAATCAAATTTCTCATCTCTGCCAGATATCAGATCGCGATGTTGAGAGTGGTTCCAAGGTCGAACCAGTGCGAACGACTGCGACCGAAGAATAAGAATTGGTGGCGCTGGGCCTGTTCATCAACGGCGCATAGGATCCAAGGTGGGGTCATACTGCACATGGAACGAACTAATTTTGTTTGACTCGGGGGGCTTACCGGAAATTGTGGCCGACCAATCACAAGCAGCAGCAATTAATCCAAATCTGATACACATATGCTGGAAGTGGGGACTAAAATGATTCTGAGAATAGCATTGGCCAATCGAGGGGTCTAAACGGCGGGAACAGGAGAAGGTCCTTCAAATGAATACATTTGCATCGTAATGGGATTGTATTTCATTAAACTAGACACATGAGTGTGGTATAAGCCCATACCATGATGGTAACAGATATTGACCCAAGAAACAAATATCATGACGTCATAGATCGCCTTCGATCTAGTGCTTCACCTGCTCTATAGAATTGTTAATAACTACCCAATACGCCTAGAATGGTAGAACAGTTCAAGTCGGGGTTCACTTACCCTTGCGAACATCGGCCTTGGTGTCATGAGAGGCCTCATCCTTCTTGTCGAAAAGTGCGTCCTTTGCCGCGCTGGCACGGGTGGAGACATTTGCATCGCTGTCCTTTGCGACATTCTTGTTGGTCTCCTTGGAGGCTTCGGCACCGGTGCCCTGGACAGTCTCGGAGACGTACTTGGCGGCGTTCTGTATACTTTTGTTAGTCATTGTCGATGTCGAACGTCACACAGTGTGGTTGTCTACCTTGGCAGTCTCCATGGTGAAAATTTTGATTTGGAAGAGTTGAGTGGAAAGTTGTGATAAAATTTGAAGTGTGTAAATGGATAATTTTCAAATTCAAAAGTAACCATTGAAGTTGCTGAAACCAAGGGCTTTATATACTAATGGATGCATAGTAATTGACTGTGTTGTGATATCACAGGCCGTCATCCATTGTTCCAAGTTTAGCGTCTAACCCCAAACCGGCGCACTGGTCAAGCAACCGGTTCTTGTGGGGTAAAACTACCTTGGAATATGATAAAGTTGTTCCTGTGTTGATCAATAACGCTACATTGCCATGTTGGATTTACAGTGTCTGGACCATGTGGCCCGTGCTCTTCTCGAATCATCGGGAGTCGATGACGTCAGGGATGCTTTACAATACTTGAGGAGAACTAACTAGACTCTGCGTCACCAACTCCACTCCGCAAAGTCCAAGGATATACCTACTGGCCATAATGCGACCAAATAATATGTAAGCCAAACAATCAGGGAAGAATGAGTCAGTACGCGAATGCGAGTGATGCAAATTGCCACCATAGACACCTGCCAGGCTTGGAAGCATGGAAAAAAGAGGCCGTCATATTGAGCACGTGAGAGGCGAATGGTAAAAATCGGGCTCTTGAATGCACAGAAGACTGAGCCGTGTAATATTTTGGCTGTAATTGCCCCGGTATTGCAATTGTTCTATACATACTGACCTGTACATGACTAATGTCAAGGGAAAGGTGCTTGAGCTACCCGACGATGATCTGCGCGATTTAAATCATATGTAAATTCATGAATCGCAATCTCCTTCAAGGTAAAAATACCTAGGATTAATTTTGTTTTGGATAGTACATGGGCATGGAGTCTTCCCACATGCTGTCAGTTAGTAGAGTCTTATTCGACCCATCAGCATTCATCACCATGATCTGCCCATATGGCTGGAACGTATCATCATAGAGAACACATTCGTCACGAAATCCGTACATGCCACTACTCCAAAGAATGCGACCATCATAAGACCATACCGCATGCGCATCATTAGCCAAACTATCAGTGACACGAGTCAAATCACTTCCATCAGGTTTAATAGTCATAATATCGAAGCGGTCGGAATACCAACGGCTGCCATACTCCGCAGTCCAATTGACTTGACGAGTGAAAACAATACGCTCTCCGTCCGGTGACCAACCTGGCGTATTATCCCAACCCATAGTCAAATTCGTAGTTTGCTTTGTCGCGAGGTCCAAAATCCGAAGACCCAATGGGGAATTGTTAACCACGTCCCATAACCGGTAAACAAGCTTAGTGCCATTAGGTGAGAATGATGGAAAGCCGGCATTGAGATTAGCTGGTGTTTTGGTGATATCTTTAAATCCATCACCGGTCGCATTAGCCAAGTAGATCGTGCCCGGATCCTCGTTACGACCAGAAAACCAAACACCAAGGCCCACTGCGATTTGGGATCCATCTTGGTTCCATGTTGGTTGGAATGCACCGCCAGTACCTGTTGTTACCCATTCCTCGTCGGTCTCATTGCGGCTTGACCAAACATCGTACACGTCGAATGAATCAATTTTATCGGATAGTTTGCCATTAGACGTAACGACTGATGAATTCCCCAGTTGCTTCTCAGTCACTGCTATCCGCCCAGTTGCGCTGTTCATCAATGGGAAAGTGTCAATGAAGCGATACTCCCAGTCATCATCGAAGTTGAACAGCTTTTTGCCAGCCGCACGGATATCCCATGTCAACACCTCAAAAACAAGCTTGGTACCATCTGGTGACCAAGTAGGATCACGTAAATAGGTGAAGTTGAATGCCTTGTGGATTGAATCAGGTGCGGTATAATGAACACCTTGATTGTCTCCACCCTTAATCAAATAACCGATATTGCTGCTGTTCCCGATAAAGTGTTGACCAACCTTCATGCCAATACCCGAAGTATGTTGCACAAGATCACGACCAGTTTTAAAATCAACGCTGTAGATCTGGCCAGTAACAGAAGCCACTGAGTTTGAGATGCCGTGCGAATTATACGTGTCTTCAGTAAGAACTTCATTGAAAAGGATACGGCTCCCATCCGGTGACCATTGGGGCGTGCCTAGCGAGTATCCAGCTTTACTCACAACGCGGCGGAAATCAGTGCCATCTCGCCGAATTACATAAATTGAGAGTGTTTGAGTATGTTCCCAGCCAGTTCCGTTGCTATGACCAGTCCAATCAGTGTTGCGATCGGAGCTGAAGGCAACCCATTGTGAATCGGGCGACCAGGCTGGCCGAAAATGCCCCTGGGGACTTGTGCGGTCACCCCGTGTGGCTGCTGTGTCTGTCAAGTTGCGCATGCTACCGGTCTTCAAATCCTTGACCCAAATGTTTGCGGTGAAGTTTCCAAATGTAGACACATAGGCCAAGTAATTGCCATCCGGTGATAACGTTCCCGCATCTTCGAATGAATCAGTGTGGACTAAAGGCTCAATATTCGTACCATCGGGCTTGATGCGGTAGATGTCAGCCTGCCCATCGGCGCGTCGTTCGCTTGTGAACACAATCCATTCTCCACTGGCAGACCACGAGGGATGTAGATCAAAGCCAGCCGTGCTGTTGCTCTCAAGCGGTTTGACATTGCTGCCATCGGAGTTGGCGATATAGAGACGAGAGTTTCCAGGGGAGATGCGGTTCATATAGAAGATACCCTTCTTTTCCGACGCTTCGGGGGTTCTTGGATACTCGTGGACGTTGCGGCGCAGGGATTCCGATATTTGGTGTTGGTACGGGCATGCGGCTGCGGCCTCTCCAACACAGAGGGCAAGTGCCGCCAATGCCCCAAGTGGTCGAAAATGCATGGAGATGGTTGAACTTAGGACCTCAGTCAAAGGAGCTTTTTACTGTGAGTTTTCACAAAACAAAATAGAAACAAAATAGTGGTGAGACAAATTCAGCAGGGCTCTGGTTCCCGTGTCTGGGCATTTATCAATAAGAGCGATACCCCACCGGGGCATAGAGCCCTGAGCGCTCCCTTCGTACATGTTCTCACTAGTGTAAAGTGCCAAGGAGATTTAATTTCGTTAAATACTTAGGTCGTATTCGGGCTTAATAAGGGCTGCAAGAGATGCTAAGATGACCAACTTCGAAAACTTGACAATGACGAAAAATTGTTCTATCAACACCGTATTTCTTCGGATTTTATCCAGGTATATACTCGCTTTTGATATAACCAGGGGCTCAAAACCCGGAGATTTATGCAGAATTGCTTTATCCATTGTGATTGAGATCATATGTCATTGAATGTAACCTATGATCGGAGTGCAGTAGAGCCGGCATTGATTGCCGTTTTGGGATAAGACTGTCATCAGCCAAAGCCAACCTAGACCCAGCATGCGTAATCAATATTCACAAAAAATGAACTTTGTATTCCGCACAGGGCTGATCATACACACCTTACGTTTCACGCGGGCGCAGATCAATAAAGGGTTGGTCCCACTGGTGATCCCCTCGGAGTTAACTACTGTAATAGTATTCCCGCCAAGAGAATCTTCAATTCTACCAAGGGATCAATCAGTGAACATCGTCATACTCCAGTTATCTGGTTTTAGTAGAGAAGCAGGATTGCACTAATAATTTATATTGCGCGTACGTTCATATTTTGACTCCACCTTTTCGGGCGTAGATATCGTGGGGTACTAGGGAGGAAACGGGGGAGACCTGTTTATTCTACGAATATAAATAGTACTAGTTAAGGCCTTCAAGTTCGGAAACTCATCAGTGACGATCCTCAAATTGAAAAGCACCTTTTCCTGCAAAGTTCACCTTAGCATCCACAGCACGTCAAAATGGTTGGCTTCAACCAAGCCACAAGCGCGGTCATATCCGTTCTATGTACCTTAAGCGCCTCTGCTTATGCTGGAGCAACTGGCACTGCCCCTGCCCTCCCGGCAGCCACAGTGTTCGACAACGCAAATGGCGTCGTCGGGGGTGTCCACCGTCCTGCAAAGCACAGTCCTCGATCAAGAGTTGCAGTATATGTGATGCATGCAGAAAGTGACTACATGTCCTTCTCTGCTTGTACTCAACTTGCGGAAAGAGGCTTCACCGTGTTCTGCGCCAACAATGCAGCCGATAAGACGGGGCCAATGTCCGATATCTATTTCGAAGACGAGATCCTACAGGTTGACGTGGGCATGCAGTATCTGCGCAACTTAACTGGTATTGATAAAGTTGTACTGTTTGGACACAGTGGTGGTGGTGCCATGATGGCTGCGTACCAAAATATTGCTGAGAATGGCGCTTCTGCTTGCTCAGGCGAGGAAAAGATTCACAAGTGTGGAAGTGCACTGGACGGAATGCACCCTGCTGATGGAATTATCTTGATTGATGCGAACTATGGCCTTGGTTCCATGCCTTTGCTCAGTCTCAACCCAGCCTTAACTGGCCCGCATGGTTCAACTATCAACGAGAGTCTCAATCTTTTCAACCCGGCAAATGGATTTGTCAACGGATCTATTTCCAACTACACCTCCGATTTCAAGCAACTATATCAAGCCGGTGTTGTGAAGAGAAACAACGACGTTATAGAATATGCCAAGGGTCGCTTGGCTGCTATCGAGAATGGAACTGCCGGTATGACCGATGATGAGCAGTTCTATGTGAACGATATGGCATATGGAGTCACTAGCAACAAGTTCTTTGCTCAAGATACCAGATACTTGGCTCACACAACTCATGCCTGGCCACTGCTCCATAAAGGGGGTAACATCACAGTGCAGAGAGTCCCTTCGGTGCGTGTACCTACGAACTTCGCCAGCGTCGCCAATCAATACATCAACGGAGCTCTCAAAACAACAATTAGAAGATTTTTGTCGACATTCGCTATCCACGCTACAGAAGATTTCGATATACTGGCGGATGGCTTTAAGGGTATTGACTTTGATTCCAATCATTTCTCACCCTCCAGCTCAATCAAGGGTGTGAAAGTACCGTTATTGAACATGGGTATGACCGGACACTGGGAATATCTCAATGCAGAGAAAATTCACATGAATGCCCCAGGAAACGATACAGCTATTGCGTTTGTTGAGGGTGCGACTCATCTCATCTACACATGTGTGGCCTGTGAATCTTATCCCGGAGAATTCGGGAACACGATGACTACAACCTATGACTTTATGGCATCTTGGCTTGCGAAGGAGGGCCGTTTCATTCACTCTTAAAAGGATATTGCTTTACTAGAGTATCAATTCTAAGATAGCAAATTACACTTTATCGATATAGTATCAGTATAGATATCTCTCTCTTGATTGAATGGGTAGTAAATTACATTTGCGAATGGACTTTTGAAAGGACATTGAGAAAGACACATAGAAAAATCTTTGGACAGAATCTCTGGAAAAGCATGCAGAAAGACCATTGGAAAGACGTCTTGGGACGTATCTAGAAAGGTATTGCTGAACTTCAAACCGTGGCCGCATTTAATTCAGTCTGCTTTGCGCTTAAAGGCGAAACAGGAACAAAAGATGGCGAGGGTAGTCAAGAGAGGCAGGTGAATAGAAATGATGATCAACGACGGAACCCTATAACGGGGGGTTTCCTTGTCGCGTTGTTCAACCTTTTCTAGATGGCAAGGATGTATCGTGCACTGGGGTTTGTCGGGAGCCCAGTGGCAGTTTGCGCACTGAGTAAATGTCCCATCTGGGTTGACGAATACAGCACAGGATGAAAACATTACATTGCCAGCTTGACAAAATTCACAGGCCTCTCACCCGGGCAGTCTCCTTTCGCCGTTTTGGATTTGAATAGCCTTTATATTCTCCTTCCGTTTGTCGATCAGATCCAAGAACTGCTCGCCGTTAGGATGTTTCGCTTTTGTTGATTTAGGGTAGGCTCTCGGATGATCGGATGTAGCGCCAAGGAGATAATAAGTTCTGCCCGTTTTGACCATCGTAGGTTATGGGTTCACCATGTATTCTCTTGGGCCCTCTGGGTCCAGAATCCAGGTTCTAGGTCTTCATTCTTCCCAAAAAGGGGTCTTGTAGATTGGGTTCTGTTTGATGCAAAAGAATTTAGTTAGTCGCTCATTTTGGGTATGATGTGTGGATGTGGGCGGCTGAAGTATAAATCTGAGATGTTGATGCAAGGTTGGGATGTAAGATGTTGAATATAAAATACAAGATATGCGATGCAAAGGATGAGTTGGGACGCAAGAAGGTTGTTGAAGGAGTTAGAACAAAAAATTGAGAGAAGGTCATGATGCGGAGCTCTGCCTGTGAGGCTAATTATACCCGTCTTGTTTCTCTCACATCTTCAAGTTAGTCCTATCCCTCTGTCTATCCTTCTGCCTACCACACGCAGGCTTCATCCAACTGTATCAAAACACTCGTCAAAATGACCCCTGTCAATCGGTACCGTTAATATATTCTATTGTTCTCGAGGCATCAATACTAACTACAACCTAGACCCGACCAGGACCGCAAAACCAAGCAATATAGATCGTCTGCCTACCCCACCGTTGTCTGATGCGGGACTGACGCGACTCCCCCGGAAGAATGGGCTGCTTAAATCCACACACGCAATTATATTGCCGATCACCGCGGCAATGCTCCCCGAACACCCGCTCTGGAAAAGCTGGTGGAGATGCCGTTGATTCGGGAGGTGCTTATGATGACAGGACTCAACTGGACGGTCGAGAGCGTGATGTGGGGGACTAAAGAGAACTCGGCGAGGGTAGAATCCGCAGTTCTTTTTGTCGTTGGAGAGGAAATGGACCTAAAAGAATGTGCATGCTCCCGCTGCAAGAGGACTCTGGGCCCTTTTGGCCTATGCGTCCGTATCGAGGGCATTCCTTCCCTGACAGTCTGTGCTGGCTGTCACTGGAACAAGAATGACAAGGATTGTGACTCCTACCATGCCCCGCCAACAAACGCTCTGCAAAAGCCCGAGCCTTTCCCCGTTTTAGTTCTTTCCGCAAAATTCAACGAAGTCGCTTCTGCAGTTTCCAGGTTGACAGAGTCTCTTGACGCATCATCTACAGATATGGAAGAGACTTATGAAGCTGCAACAGAACTTCTGGTTTCAAGCCCTGGACCAACCGAATCGACGGTGAAGATGGTCTCCAGTATGGAACAATCCCGGAAGAATGACCGAGAGGTGACAAAGAACCTGCAATCTCTGGTTCAATCTTGCAGCGAGCTTACTTCATTGCTGCAAGAGGCTCTCGAGGTTGAAAATGAGGCCGAGCGAGTAGGAAACGCTAAAAGGCGTCGTATCAAGTGATTCTAACCCCGGCTGGAATTGATATACGAGAGTCCAGAGTCTTGAGTTGAAGTTAGGGAATATTAATTTGAAGAAGATGGATGAGATATCCTTTGAATTATGTGAATGCGTACAAATCTCTGCGTTTTATCCCTGTAATCTATACATTGTAATCTATATGAGTCTTTTAATTCTCAGTCTGGTTGTCCTGGCTAGGGAGTCCAAGCTGGATAGTCCACTGGGGATTCCTGGAGGGAGATTTAGGGGAAGAGATTTGCCCAGTATGATTTTCTGGAAACGATTTACTAAAGAAAAAAGTGAGGAATGGATCGGAAGAAATTCACTGAAAGGAATTTATCGGAGGAGATTGACTGGAGATTGAATTGAGGAACTTGTTTAACGAACCGGTATGTCTTTCGAGAAGTACAGGTTTATCAAAGGAACTCGTCATGGGGCCGTTCAAGATAGTTAAGAATAAATCCTCACATTCCTCACATACATTGCACCATTGTAAATTCAACACCGAAAGATTCCGTAGAAAGAGACTCCAGAGTCATTGCAAGTGCCCATGCAGATCCTATTCTATTTAGGCCTAGTTCTCACCCACCGTTAACTGCCACCATTTATGGCTCCATCGGTTGAGGCCTACATACAAAAATGTAGCATCACTATCCTCTAACACAATAAGCCAATACAAAGCATTTCTTCGACGAACTTGGAAGACTTATCTCAGGTATAACTACCGAATTGGAAGTCGGAATTGTAACAAATGCCACGAATCATAGGCTCAACGGTCCTAACTTTACTCAGAATATCAACGGATTTAAGCGAGCGACGCAAAGGATTTACAGTGGAACCGTTTGCATGAATTGATGTACGAAGGTGGACCTGGATGTGCCGTTTGGCTATTCGGCCCCAGGGGCGGCCCATCAGTCCGTTGAGGAGCAAACTGTCCACGGGTCCACTCCAGCTGCAACGTTGGTATTGTCATTTCTTCACAATTTCAATGTGAGATAGATAATTTATTCCATGCGCACATCATTGCCATACTGATAGGAAGACCTTGTGAAACATGCCGAATAAAATTCTATAGAGGAAGCTATTGGAACGATCACAGAGAGATGATGATATTATTATCTAGTCTACGGAGAGAGAGATGATAGAGGATGTGTGGGTTACCTACGCGGTGAGCCCCACCATCCGTCCACAAAAACCAATACTTATAAAGTGCGTCCCAATTCAATCAACCTCAAGTTCTCAAATAATTTCCTTTGCAGATTGTTGATGTGTATCTTTTGATACAGTCAGCAAGAATCACAGCGATTAAAGATAACAGAATTGAAACTTGTGGCTTGCAGAATCTCAATCTCTTCAAACCTTTTTGTCGATCATCTGTTAGATGGGAATTTATTCGAAGCTTCGTATCCACCATGGCTTGCATCATGTTGCACAATATCCGCTTCTGCGCAAAAGGATATGTGGCTGTAATTCATACCTGAATATACAGCGATCTATCATAAATCAGTATGTGAGAATTGACTTACACGAAAGGGTTTATATTACATGTTACGAGAATACCCTACACTAGCCACAGACATAGTTAGCCTCAGGTATGGATACTGCGAGGTTTTTTTTGGGGGCCAATTCCTCAAAACCTGATTTCTATGTTATTTCTGTAGAGAATAGCCAGGAATCGCTTTTCTCATGAGGGATTTTGTGCTGATGGTTATAAAAGTTGCAGATTGCCCAGATGTAGAGCAATAGGCGTATTACTTGCATCTACTAACCTCTCCACCATGCAGCCGAGGCTGCTCAAATGACCTCATCTTACATCGCATATAACGGTAATATTGCATGGCTGGAACAAAATAAGAATAAATATTCACTCTGTGAGACATCTCTTCAATATAATGTATATGCATGGTATCCCAGATATCCATTGCTCGGCACAGATACTGCAACAGGTGATGCGCTCGACCTGCCGGTGTAAGCTGAGTAAGTCAAGCATTCTGTATATGAGATAAACAAGCACTAGTGAAGTAACTTATACCTCTTTTGTATTTTTCTATCTGCAAACTGCTGCACGTGGGTGGGTTCGTCGCAGTAGTTCCCATCTTGGATATCTAGACAAGCCGATTGACATTTAGTGGAGCCGACGGACCCAAAATAGTGGGTCAATAAGCTTGGCATCCTACCATGAGTGTACCTTGTCAAGTCGAAATTTTGAGTTTGCAACGGCCTATTCTGTAGATCTGCTTAAGAAGGCTTTAAGAAGACATAGTGGATGGAGTCTGGTGGAGCTACAGGATTTCATGTGATGAATTGGCCACGAATCCATTGCCGACTTTGTATCCACCATTTTGCAAAGGAGATGTGAAGAAATGGCAAGGTAAGATGGAGTATAAATGATGATCTTTTTGCCAATTCTTGGAAACGTCTTCTCATTCGTTTCCTACCTCTCCTATCGACTTTCCAGTATCTCTTTGTCGTTTATTTGAAATGGACCCTACCCTCGCGGAGAGTAAACTTGGCTATCATGGCCTGCCAACTAAGTCTACTGGCAACGATGGGACGGCTATTATCAAGGGAATGGCTCAAACAGATCAAGTCAAATCTCTAATTCGAAAATTCCTTGAAGAAACCAATTTCGATCGCAGTAGCCCCTTCATCAAGGACCATCAAATGGCAGTTGCTGTGTGGGAACATTTCAAAAGCCTAGACTTGGGACCTAAGATGGAAAAGTCAGTCCAGAAAACGCTCAAGCTTTCTGTGACTTTTACCCATCAGGCATACACGGCCCTCCCTTTCGAAATCAGAGTTCTATGTGCCATCCAATTTCTATACATGTTCCTCGTCGACGATGTAGCTGAAGATTTCATGAGTGATCTCCAGGCATTCGGCCAAAAGTAAGGCTCAGACTTCCCACGAATGAAGTATTGATATACTAATATGCCTAGTTCTGTCCTTAACAAATCTCACAATAATACTCTACTAAACGGATTCGATACTCATCTTCGCAATCTTGCCTTTTATTACGGACCCTACTGCCACTCCGCAATCACCAAGTCCTTAATTGATTATGTCAACGGTCGCATTATTGAGCACAAGATGGAACAATCCAGCTTCAAATTCTCTGCAGAGTCCCGACTTATGCCCATGTTTCTCCGGACAAAGGTTGGGGGTGCAGAAATCCTCATTCATCTTCTCTATCCAAAAGCCATCTTCCCGGAGGACGAATACGTCATACAATATTTTCCTGCAATCCAGGAGTTAGTTCTCTTCATCGATTTCACAAATGATATCTTGTCTTACTACAAGGAGTTCTGTCTTGATGACGAAAAGGGGAATTTTGTTGCCAACTTTGCCGATACACATGAGGTACAGCACTTGGACGTCTTGAAGTATCTGACCAGCTATACACCTAGGGTAAGAACAGCTGCCGAACCCCAGTGCCACAAGCATGCTAACATGTGGGTTCTAGTTACTGAAATCGGTGTACCAACTGTTTGGTAATAACTCATTCTTGCTCCAGTCAGTTGAGAACTTCACCCGAGGATGGATTATGCTTTGTACGGCGCATCGCAGATATCATTTGGTGGAGCTGTTTGCGGAGGAACAATACCTGCCACCTTATGATGAAGATGCCTAATTCTTCACAGGCCTGCCGACTTTTTATTCAATTTTCAAATGCTTGCTAATGCGGAGCGCCGCTTTGCTAAGTCTGTCAATGTAGACTGGGATGTTTGTGCCATTCCAACTTCAAAGCTCCTTAGCTAGTAAATTCGGTCTATGTTGCAGGGGTTACCGTCTGTAACAGTTTAGAAGAATAAATACTCATTTATTTTTCAATGGGTATCTACAATTTTGAGCAGGATCAATACTTCATATACTAAGAATTGACTCTTCCAGTTGAGTTTGACCTTTTGGCAGCTGTGTCCCGTCGCGCCGCTCCTATCTTTCACGTCACGTATTCACTTTGTTTCCTCCTCAACAACCCTTCTTCGTCACATATACACGATTATCGCCCGATTTATCGAGCTTTCCAATAATTATCGATAAGTTCCAAGATTCTGACCTGTAACTCTGACTTAAAAGTACTATCTTAACCATTGCCAGTGAAGATCAAGCCCTAGACGGCCTTCAACTCGGACGCCTTTACTCCTACCAGCAGTACCAACGAAGATCGAGCCAACTGGCTCTGAATTCTGTGCTCGCCACATCAACGAGCGTCATTTTGGATCTTGCCATCGAGGTGATAAAATCAGGAACATACCATTCAAAGGGCTAGCTACTATGGAGCTGCAGCGTGTTTCTCAAGTTCGCAATGACCCTGCCGTGACGCGAGATAGTTTCAATGCGCTCTGGGCAAAAATACCTCAAAATCAGACCTGCCCTCATTTCATGCATCGGATACCTTATGGCGGAGAATTAGGATGCCCAGGATGTCGACGTTGGTTAGCGCCATTCTCGGCTAATTGGGAGTCCAGATCTGAAAGTTTGTGCCAATTTCCGTTGGGACAAGGGGCATGTCAGTGCAATTCAACCCGTAATTTCAAGCTCCTAGGTCAAAGAAACATCCCAATTTTGACGAAATTCTTCTCAACAAAATTGATTCTATTCATGACGTGGCGGGAAATGTTGTTGATGAGCTCGACGCGAATTCCGACGTAATTACATGGGGCTTCATAGCATGCTCGACCATCGGCCATGTAGTGTAATGCCAGATGATCAAGCTTGTTCATGCAACCACTAGGTGTATAAAGGCCGCTATGTCACTTGGTTCCCGACGATAGTTGATAACATTCCATACATTGTTCTATAAAAAGAGAGAGATATTCTGTCCACTCCAGAATGCTAGAAACGTACAGATCTAGAATTAGGTAGAGTGTATCTTCTGTGCTGTTAAAATAGCCATGATTGAAGAGATGACTTTCCAGCCTGGAGCCTGGAGCTTTCACGTGCTTTGATGGCGGTTTCGGCTCACTATAAGAACCAACGCGTCTGCTCAACCTCTCCCTTCACATTCCAACTCATCATTTTCACTCACCTTTTCTAATCTCTACGCCTTCACCCCTCCTACATCTACGAATAATCAATTACTGCTATTCTCATATCTCGCCAGGCAAGTAATCTTTTCTTCTTTCTTCTTCTCGCCTTCTTCTTTACTAGCTACCGGCAACCGCTTTCTACTCCTTTCATTTCTCACCGTCAAACCAGCATGCCCACTCTTCGCAAGTTTGTACCTTTGACGAATCAGTTAGTTACCCCCCTTAAAGAGACACACTGATTTATTACTTAGCTCTGATGCAATTCTCAATTCAGCACCATCAAAGTTCCCGGGGGAACTAGGAGCTCTCTCCGATGGCACACTCATTAAGCCCCCAGGCCGCTGGGCAAGTGCGAATAAGGAATTCGATTTTAGTAACGTGCGTCGCAGACGGGGTTTGCGAAGCAAAACTCTCACTGCCAAGATTTCAGGGCTTGATTTAATCAGAGCGTCTACGTTAACACCCGCCAGGCACATATCGTCCTCAGTAACGACGCTCTCGAGATTATTGCTGCTATCGAAGAGTACCATGCCATTTTCGATGACCTTGTTGACGCGGTAGATGAGGCCAACAACAAGGAGTTTACTCGGCTCGTGCGTCAGGAAAACAAACAATAATATGCTCTTCACACTGTGGTCTTTAATTTGGAGCAGCATATCCGTGAGCATAAGGGCGCTACCCATCGACAAATCGAGCTGCTTAATTAGTTTCAAAAAGCTCAAGCGTCACCGGAGCCCCTACGGAATGGCTTCGACTACTAGCTACTCCCTCTTGTTATTTACATTTTCCGGCCTTCTTGAATCCGCATGATGGATAATGATGTGCAATGGGCGATAGATACGATCTGGATGGCATGAAAGGGATTTATTTTTAACAGCTTGAAAAGAGATATCTGTCGGTATCGGTAGTTCGAGATAACTCCAAAGTAGATATAACGCAATCTCACAAGGGCATACTTACCAAGAGCTTCCCTTGGCGTTATCCTTGTACATAACAGAGGCTCTGGAAATTACTTATCTTGACGCGTCTTGTTCGCCCACATATCAATTCCTCTCTTCTTTTTCTGTCACACTCTGTGATAGGGTGCCTACTTCTCTACCGGAATGGAGAATGGGTGCAAAAACAACTAATAACAACGTTGAAGAAAAGAGGAAGAGGGAGAGGGAAGCTCAACTTCGTACATGTAGCCTGTAGGCACCTCCCACTCTCGGACCAATCCGTTGCTCGGTCTGTACTTCCAAATGAGGAACAAGCGGTGTGTGTACCGTGTACTATAATCAGCTGTATTAAACTGCTTGGTCGTATCACCTGGGATACTTCAAAGCGCGACACCGGAATCGCGTGGGACATGAGTGTAAGGACACCGAGCGATAGGCAGAAGTTCCGGGCGTGATTTGGACAATAGAGTAGAGATGGACAGTTTAGATTGAGGAAAACGAAGGGAGAAGGAGAATGCAGTCTCACTCTTCTGCAGCGCTGAGCCTCCAAGTCACATGCTGAGCAGACCGAACAGGACTGGCCCAACGCCACGACATGCTAGGTACAGACATATGAGGGGGTCGAAGGAACAAGTATTGTAATCAATGGTAGCTTGGAATGTCTGCCGGACAGTTGAGGGCGTTGGAGGAATGTAGAAAGGTCGTCGCGAAGGATTTGATTGAGGGTCGCCACGATCATTAGATTGGTTTCTTTTTTGTAGACAGCAAAGTACGAGCCAATTAAGCCTGACATGGTTAATCCAATAATGTATTCCAATGTGATGCCCTATCACCAGTTAAACAAATAATATGCCTGATGGAATATGTTTATCAGAGAGCCCCACCTACAAATAGAGCGAATTCTAGGGTGCACGCGAAGGCCTACATAATACATCAATATGTAGTAAGACCTAGTACCGGGATCGACAGAAGGCTGATTTACCGGCTTGTAACATGGTGTTTTACCCGGGCCTGCCCAGGTGCTTATTATAGGAGTTAATATCGACGCTTGGATTCAGGAACTGTTGAGAAGGATTTCTTTCTCTTTTTAATTGCCCATTCGCTTTGAAATATGGTGGAGCGTCTTGCTTCAATGGATTCCATCTTGTGGCGCATGAAAGAGCGATCGGAGCTCCAAATCTACAGCTTGCATTACCGGAGTCTACATGTACTCATGATCCAAAGTTTCAACTAATCAAATGGCCGAATGGTGTAGTTGGTTATCACGTATCGTGCAGTAACGGCGGAGCTGAAATTACCTCTTTAGGACTAGTATATTTGTAGGCCTATGAAATCGAGCTGTGTCTAGAAAGACCTATTCTTGACCTAAATATTTCTCTTAACTATATGTCTTATTTTGCTATTACCCTTGCTATAATTAACTTTACCTATTGGCTCGGACTACTACGCTTCTAGCGCTTTACTATTAAGGTAGACCCCAGCCGTTTAAGGTAGATTTGCTCTAGCTTACTTGCTTATATTATATTCTTTAATTTTCTTGGGCTTGATTATCTACTTTATATCTTATATTTACTATAGTACTTTAGACTTATTTAGATAGATTTAGGTATATTTATTATATTAATTTATAGTTACTATACTATATTCTCTCCTACTACTGGTGTAGGAATAAGAAATAGATTATATTATTAGGGACTAGAAATTAATAGGGGCTGGTAGAACTATTCTTAATTAAGTAACTCTAAATATGTACCTAATTAGAAGTACTTATACTAAGTCTTATTATATTTTAGAAAATATAGCTATAACTATAGAAACTGTGGCTATATTAAAAACTATAGTTATCTTAAAATTTATAGTTAAGATCTAATAAATATAATATTAAAACCTACTTCTAAATAGAGGTAAAAGTAGGTTTTATTTATATAAGATTTTTAATTAATATTTCTTTAAGTATTAAGTAGTATATAGACCGTTATTTACTCTTATAGTTTTAAACTATCTTCTTTATCTTAAGATCCTTTTACTAGACCTAATATTCCCTCTCTATAATAATATTCCTTAAGTAATAGTCCTAATAAGATACGAAGACTTCTTAAACTACTATACGAATCTATCTCTAAGTCTTTTAAGTCCACTAATCCAGCTTATATTATAATATTATAATAAAAAAGCTTATAACTAAGTTACTATAAATAATTTATAAGAGCTACTCTATACTTATATATACTATATAATAAGTTTATTTAAAACCTAGAAGTAATACTTAGAGAGGTATCCTATTTAGAAAAAAAATAATCTACAGTAACTATTATAGCTATTATTAAACTTAATAAAGTTAGTGGTTATATATAATCCTATTGTTTGCTTAAGGGTCCTTAATATATTAAGTAGGAGATATTTGGTGTAATATGGTCTTCTATATTTTCTTCTCTATTCAGATAGTCTAAAGAAGAGAAGAAAGAATAGAGATTAAAGATAGTAGAAAGACTTTTTGACTATATTAATAAATTCCTTTTGTCACAGTGTGGATCCTCGTATAAGAGGATCCCTATTCCTATTATTATATGATCCCTAAGACTATTAGAACTTCCTATTCCTATTTAATATAGCTCTTTAAGCTATATCTTAGTTAATCTTCTATCCTATAGCCTATCTGTAATATAACTATTTCTAATCTTCTACTTACTATATAAGTTAGTTTATTAGCTTCTAATATATAATTACTTACTATATCCTAATATTATATAGCTTCTACTCCTATATTAAGAGTTAGACTATCTATTAATTATAGACTAACTACTAAAGCCTATAGAGACTTCTCTATTACTATTCTTATTTAATAATCTTAAAACCTATATTAAATACTATAATATAAATCCTAAAACCTAGTTTATATACTATAAATAAATATATAAATACTCTAAGAAGATTAGAAAACTAATCTATCTATACTATTAATAATACTATATTACTTAATAAGAGATTATTTATTTAATCTAAGAAATAGTCTAGATTAAAGAAGAACTTATATAAATCTATAATAAACTATCTAAAAAAAATAGTATTTTTAAATACTAAGAAGAAAAACTAGTATAAGTTTAAAAAAATCTTTTAGAATATATCTATAAACTAGAATCTATTTACTAAAAGTATAATTAAGTCTTAATAATTATTACTTTTACTATAAATACTTCTTATATAAACCTAGTTCCTAAAGTATTTATTAAAAGATTATTAACTTTAATATTAGAAGTATTTCTATTATCTAATTCCTATATTATTTATTTCTTTATCTTTTCTAAATATCTTCTAGATCTTTATATATTTAATAGAGATTATAAGAATCTCTATTAATTTATATTCTAGATTTAAAAAAAATTAATTATAAATCTTAATTAATTTCTAACCCTAATAAGTTAAATATTATATATAATAAGTTAGTTTAAAGGAATTCTATATATCTAGATCTTATTATATATTTAAAATAGAAATTATATTCTATCTAACTATAGAGAAATCTTAAGTATTCTTAAAAATATTTTTAGTAATTCTAATTATATAAATAATATTTAAGATAAACTCTTCTAATTCTAATAAATTAATAAGAAATTTAGTTAGTTCTTTACTAAATTCTAATATTTTATATTTAAAAAAAAGATATCTAAAGAAACCCTATTTATACTATTAAAATAAGTTATTAATTAAGAACTCTATAAAATATTTCTTTATAATAAGCTTTTAATCTATAAATACTATTAGTTTATAGCTTTCTTTTAGAAACTTAAAAACTAATATATATACTATAATAAAGTAATCTAACTTCCTACTATATAATTAGTATTAATATAAATATAATTTTATAATTTACTTTCTATTTAGAATAATTACCTAGATTTCTATATAATAAGAAATAGTTCTTCTATTTTAATATTTATATTTACTTCTAATCCTATAGATCTAACTTTAAACTATTTAATTTACTAAGATTATAATAAATACTTCTACTATAAAGCTAAAGATTATTTTATATAAGATTATCTATATCCTAATTAATATCCTATATAAATATATTTTATCTATATAGAAAGATTTACTTCCCTAGAATACTAATATACTATCTTATTAAAATAATATTTCTAATCTTTATTATTTAGCTACTTCTTATATAATAAACTACTAAAAAAAGTAAGTCTAGTCTAAATTATAACTAGACTAATATAATCTATATAATCTATCTATTTATTATTATTATTTAAAGAATTACTATTAATAAAGAAATCTAATACTCTAATCTAATTATATTATTAATTATCCTAAACTAGAATAAGAAAGAAATTCTAATATATATAATAATTAATAGTAGTACTAAAGAAAAGTATTTTATTAATACTAATTAGACTAAAAAATATAGTCTTATATAAGAATCTCTAAAAAATCTAATCTAACTAGAAGACTTTAATAGCTAAGAATCTAAAAGTAGATAAATAATCTATTTTATATAAATAAAGATAACTACTAATAAATACTAAGAAAAAGCTAAGTTCTTAGTTATTTAACTTATATATTATTTAATTATTCTTAGACTATCTTAACTTAAGATTTATAATCTAAGAGTCTAGTTTATTACTTATATAATTAAGTTTAATAGTATATATTACTAGAAGAACTATAATACTACTATATAAAACCTAAAGATCTATATTATATATAAAATTCCTCTAAAAGCCTACTTCTATAATTAATTAGATTAATTTATCTACTTAAGA